AAGTTATTTGAAAGTTCTGAGGACAAAGAACACACAAACACACAATGCCTCAGTGATTCACAGAAGTATATCACAGATCACAGAACTATATCAGGGTGTCATTTGTCAGGCAGAAATGTAGATAAAAATAATGAAATCCTGTTCCCCAAACAAGTGCAAGAACCACAGAGTCAAGAATAGGTTAAATATACAAATAAAATAAAATCAATTAAAAACAATATTACATCAACATAAAAACATATAAACATAAATCTGAAAGCGTTGCTCAAACTCCCGTAACAGTCCCGTTATTTTATCTTTGAACCGCTTCATGTCTGCCACATGTTGGGTCGCGCACACATTTTTCAGACAGGGGAAGTGAGCTGCATCACCACCGGCAAATTGCGTCTCCCACAATGACAGCTTCAACTTGAAAGAACGTATGCTGTCATAATACTGCGTGACAACTTTGTTGCGCCCTTGCAGCTGTTTGTTCAAGTTATTCAGGTGCTCTGTAACATCCACCATAAATGCAAGGTCCTGCATCCATTCTGCGGAATGAAATTCTAACACTGGTTTGCCCTTTTCTTCCATGAACTGTTCAATTTCTTCTCGTAAATCAAAGAAACGCCTCAGCACAGCACCTCTGCTTAACCATCTTACCTCAGTGTGGTATGGCAGGCCATAGATGTGGTCTTTCTCTCTGAGAATGCTGTCAAACTGACAGTGATTCAGGCTTCTGGATCGGATGAAATTAACAGTTTGGATGACCACCTTCATGACGTTATCCATCTTTAATGACTTGCAACACAAAGCCTCCTGGTGCAAAATACAGTGAAAAGTCAAAAAATCACGTCCTCCATTTGCAGATTGCACTTTCTCTCTGAACTTTGTCACAACGCCTGCTTTTTTCCCGATCATTGAGGGCGCACCATCTGTAGCCAGGCTGACAGCGTGGGACCAGTCCACTCCGACCCTGTCCAGCGCGCCGACGAGTGCGGTAAAAATATCAGCTGCTGTCGTTGTATCTGTCATCGGCACCAACTCCACGAACTCCTCGGTGACGGTCAATGTGTCATCAACTCCGCGGATGAAAATGGCCAGTTGTGCAACATCTGTAATGTCCGTGCTTTCATCAATTGCAACCGAAAACGCAATAAATGACTTTACTTTTTGCTTCAACTGGCTGTCCAAATCCACTGAAAGATCGGAAATCCTGTCTGCAACTGTGTTTCTTGTCAGGCTGATATTTGCAAAAGCCTGCCGCTTTTCAGGGCACACAATCTCCGCTGCCTTCATCATGCATGTTTTTACAAATTCACCCTCACTAAATGGTTTTGAAGCCACTGCGATTTCATTAGCGATGAGGTAGCTAGCTTTCACTGCAGCGTCACTGATGTCTCGGCTGTGAGTAAACACAGACTGCTGTTTCTTCAGACCCGCCAACAGTTCATTCACCTTCTCTCATCTCCGCTGTCCTTGAAAGTTGTCATATTTGTCGGCATGAAGACTCACATAGTGGCGACGAAGGTTATATTCTTTCAGCACTGCAACATGCTCTGAACACACCAAACATACAGCTTTCCCATTCAATTCCGTGAATAAATAGGATGACCATTTTTCTTGGAACACTCTGCACTCTGCGTCCACCTTTCTCTTTTTTGACAGAGACATATTGGGGCAATGAGGGTGCCAAAGCACATAATGTTAAAAGTAGAAGCCGTAGTAAATATCGCGGGCAAAACAAAGTAGCTCACTGGCTGCACGTGCTTGACCTACTTGCTCTGCCCCGGTATAAACAGTTTGCTTGCTTAACACAATTGCTATTGCGCCATCCAGTGGACGCAATTGGAACAGCAGTTTATTTTATTGAAAAATTGCAGCGCATTTTTATACTTTACAATTATTATTATTTATTTTTTTAATCATCTCGCGGGCCGGATTAAACCCGTTTGCGGGCCTGATCCGGCCCGCGGGCCGGACGTTTGACACCCCTGCTCTAGTGCATCCTCTGCTGAAGTAGGTAATAGAGAAGAGGAGGACACTCCTTTGTTCGCCTACTAACGAATTTACACTCTCCTCATCCACTTGACTACTTATCGGTTTCTGGGTCAGGGAGGAGAGGAGGACGTAGGAGTCGAGGAGAGGACAGACTTTTCCCCAATTAAGAATCTCCCATAGTTAAAGACAGTACAATGGCACATCCAAGGGTTAAAATGTTCTACCTGGAACCAAAAAGGGTTCTCCTACAGGGACAACCAAAGAACTGTGGTTCTAGGTAGCCTAGAGTGTAGCCTATGATTACATAATTGTCGTTACAAAGGTCTACCCAATTAGAAGGATATGTTGGCATCCTATGTGAGGTAACATTTTCACCTGACAGGTTAAGGGATTTACCATGCAAATAATGTGCAACATTATCAATAATCAACATTATCATTGATATAGCCCAGGAAATTGAGTTGAGTTGTTATGTGTACATTGTAGTTCAGTAATCAGACACTCAATGATTGAACATACAAAGAATATACACTGAGTGTACAAAACATTAGGAACACCTTCCTAATATTGACTTGCACCCCCTTATGCCATCAGAACAGCCTCAATTCATCGGGGCATGGACTCAGCAAGGTGTTGATAGCATTCCACAGGGATGCTGGCCCGTGTTGACTCCAATGCTTCCCACAGTTGTGTCAAGTTGGCTTGATGTCCTTTGGGTGGTGGACCATTCTTGATACACACAGGAAACTGTTGAGCGTGAAAAACCCAGCAGCATTGCAGTTCTTGACACACTCAAACCAGTGCGCCTGGCACTTACTACCCCGTTCAAAGGCACTTACATTAGCGTTCTGAATGGCACACATACACAATCCATGTCTCAATTGTCTCAAGGCTTAAAAATCCTTCTTTAACCTGTCTCTTCCCTTTCATCTACAATGATTGAAGTGGATTTAACAAGTGACATCAATAAGGGATCATAGATTTCACCTGCATTCACCTGGTCAGTCTATGTCATGGAAAGAGCAGGTGTTCCTAATGTTTTGTACTCTCAGTGTACGTGGCATAACCTATTCCAGAGTATGTTTTGTATAAATTAAATTATGTTTTGTGTTAAATCAATGAACAGAAACATGATATATGAATGTCTGTTTTCACCCCACTGTTTAGAGAGGGTAAAACAATTATAAAAGCTTACATGCTGACATCCAGAGTTAGATTATGTATCAGAAAACAACTGTGTATGATGATATCTTAGTAAACATTAAACCTGAGTTGTATACCGCTCATCCATGGCAGCCTCTGACAAGTCATATATTACCCATGACCCTCTTGTGTGGATTGAAATAGACAGAATCCCTGGTGGTGATGATGGAGACAGAGTGGTTCTGGTTCTACTCATTTACTGCCTCCGGAGGAATGGGGGGGTCTCCCTCCCTCCCTCCCATCTCTTCCTCTACTTCCTTTACAACCCTCTCATCCTCACTGGTGTTTCTGCTGATGCTCTTTAAGCATGCATAATGTCCTGCACAGTGGATCTCCTGAAGTGCTGCAAGGATTTGCTCATTTGCCCAACTTGTGAAAATGGGGACTTTAAACAAATACTGATCAATACTCATTTTCCCCTATTTGTTGACCTTTGATACTATGTTTCCATAGACTAATTTTGCTGTAAAGAGATTTTCTATCTATGATATTCTGCTCATGAGTAGGCTAACATATGTGTGCTTTGCTCTCTATGGGGAATGCATATTACAGGCAAAATTGCCCCAAAATGTTTTGTTTAAAATTATTGACAATGATAATAGAGACACTAGCCTAGAGAATAACCTAGATAATAGAATATAATAATACACAATAGAATAGAACACATTAGAAAACGATAGAATGGAGTGGAGTATAATACAATAGAAAATAATAGAATATAATTCATTATTTCTGGAAGACAAAACTTGCTAATATTTAGTGTCTGGGAATATTTTCACCATTACTTGATTAGAACATTAAGGATGTTTTAACGTTATACGGTATCATATTGCCAATGTTTTAGGGAACTCAAGCTCCTTTGTTCCTTTCTATTTCACTGTACCTGTACTGCCCCTTTAAGAGAAAATATTTCAATCTAGGCGTGTTCTCTGCTCCCATTGATTAGAAACGAGCATCCTGCGGCAAAGCACAGCGAACACACATTCTAATTTAGGCTACGATTATTTGTATTTTATTTAGGATAGGCCTATTGTAGTTATTTATTTTTATTAATAATGAGCCTTATTGAATAGCATAATAACAACCAACATAAGCCAAGCCTGTGTGGTGCGCGCGTATGATTAGTTTTATCGAGATGGTATGAACGTCACTCGGTCAAGGTCCACTCTCCCGATGCGAGTACCAAGATTGGATTGCTTTCCTATGGGCCGAGAAAATCTGCCTCAAGCGTTTGCATAAAATTAAAACAAATTCCATTATTAAAGGGAGAATTTGGGATCCTGATTACTGTTCTAATCTATAATGGAAGCCCTCTGGCACTGGAAGGAGGCGGCCACACTGAAAAGAGAACTTTCATTGCCGAAAATATGGATGCATGGATTTTGTGAAAATTTATGACATAAACGACAAGTGCTTCGTAATCATCTCATTTCAGAGTAATTAACGCGGATTGCTGACGGATGAAATTCGTTGCATCAGACTGAATGGACTGTAGGCCTATTGATGGAGCTTTGCTAGGCTACCACCAGAAGATAAAATAGGCTACCAGATTTAAATCTACAACAAAAACATCTTCTTTTTTTATCATAGGCATATTTGTGAGCTTTTGAATCATTTGGAATCGTCCGTTTCAGATTTAAAATATATATATATAACTCTCTGATGTTGTGATTCTGCCTGTTACAAGGCAATTTACTTTACCATATCATTGTCGGTTTGAAAGGCAAGGAAATATTGTCATTTGGGCTACCTACTGTGGCCTTTACACATATGTCACTATACTGAGTTGAACGTAAACTGTCAGTATGTCGGCGGTAATGATCACACGGAAGGCACGAAAATGGGAAAAGCTCCCGGGGAAAAACACTTTCTGCTGCGATGGACGCGTAATGATGGCCCGGCAGAAAGGCGTCTTCTATCTAACCGTATTTCTCATCGTCGGCACCTGCTCCTTGTTCTTCGCATTCGAGTAAGTATAGTTGCATCTCCAGTGTTCATTTGGGCGATGATAAAACAAACTGTCAATCATTGGGGCGTGTTTTCTCAAGAAATCCTGAACATGCACCAGCAGTGGAAGTGTCATGACATGAACATTTTTATTTGAGTGTATAAAATGTTTTCTAGGAAGAGGTGCAGGGCCGGTCCCACCTAAATCTCGTTTAAAAGTGCATTTCCTGCAATTCTACACATTTTTCCATGGGGTGGAGAGCAATTTTTGCAATTTTATTACACATTTTATGCAATTCTAGTAATTTTGCCATGGGGCAGAGAGAAGAAAAATCAGTTATACAGTTAATTCCCTGCAATTCTACCTATTTTGCCATGAATTATGCCATGTTAATGATATCTGATTGAGAGTGACTAACAAAATCAATAGAGGCCCCCTGGAGTTCAGGGTCCCTGGGCATGTGCCTGGTTGGTATTTGGCCATGATAGCTTGCTAGACTAACTTACCAATCCAAAAATTGTTAGCTGACATGGCTAATTGAGTGACTGTCAGTGAATGACACAGCAAGAGAAACATTGCTGATGCACAACCAAATGTTGCACCTTGTTTATTCTACTATTCTAACTCTCAACAGTAAGTTGAGACCCCGACTAAAAAAACGAAAGGAACAAAAGACCGTTGGGCCTGGAGCCCCTGATGAGGTGCTTTTCCTATAGGGCTGCAAGTCCGATGCAAATAATAACCTGTAGTAGGCCTAGAATATAGGTTATATTTACGCTGTACCAAGTTATGATTGAATAATTAATTATTCATATTATTCATATTATAATTTTATGGGTTCTTATATTTGTCCTGTTTCACACATGTACAAGTGTGTATTAATATGCATGTGTGAAATTGATTTTAAAAAGTGCATATCCAACTCCCCCTGAGACACCCTCAGTGAGTCGGGTCACGGCCAGGGGCTGACATTATCAATGGAGACGCTGAAGCAATTAAGATTCAAACTAGCGACCTTTTAGGTTACTGGCCCAACGCTTGCCTAAACATCAGCCTGTTACCATGGTTAGCCCATGGATATTCAGTCTGAAAGAAGTTTGCCAGAAAAAAGAGTCTCTATAAGCAAGAATGTTGAATAAAAGATGTACTTTACCAGTTGTTTGTGCTGTTGGTCCATTTGGCGGTAGGAGGTGGAAATACGTTATTCACAGGAAGGTGTTGTTTACCCAAATGTTTTGTTTGTTTCTCGGCAGCAGTAGGTTCTGTCACTTGTATTTTCAATCTCCTGAGGCATTGCTGGTGATGCACAATAAGTAAACAATAGCCGAATGTAACCGAACATAGTCGACCGGCACAAGTTTCCTTGCAATCAGCTGGAAGTTTTTGTGAAATTAGCCAGCTGATTGTGTGGGACAACGTTCAGTTAGGCTCGGCCATATTGTGGAAGTGTTTTTATTGCGTGCGAAGAAACTATATGCAGACCGTCGTACCGAAGGTTGGGATGAAAACGCTTCCCTGTGGATATTTTGTCGCAGGTTACCTCCGACATAGCTGCTGTCTGCCGATTTTATCCCTAAAGTAATTTGAAATGAAGTTTGTTCAACATTCTGACTTGTAATAGGACTGCTCGGGAAGGCTGAGCCTACATCTTAGAGACGAGTGCAAGTGTTTTACTCTCGGATTCTAAAAGAGTCTAATGGTTAGGCTATCTGCCGCTCTTAAGTAATAAGGCATATAAAATATTCTCCCCACAAAAATCAATGGCTGAGTGGTAGCATATCAGAAGGGAACCATTATTGACTAATATCTAGTCTTGCATATTTCAATCTTTAATTCCCTTACTGTCAAGTGAAGGGGGCCCTTGCTCAAAATTAAGCATTGCCTTTCAGAACATAATAATATAACATCAACCTAAGCCTACTGTAGATTCTGCTGCCTCCATCTATCAATTGATTGCCTTTCTTGTACTTCATCAACATAAAGTAAAACTGCCTAACAAAGCTGGCCAAAGAGCAGTTCGGTCAAATGCCTTGTCTGTGGGCCTGTCTCAATTGTGGGTTTTGCAGAATTCTCATTATTTAGCTAAAAATGAGGGCCTCAAGGAAAAGTGGTCCAGTGTGTTAGAAATACCAAGGCCAGTTTCTTGTTTTGCACTCTCCCTGAAACCACAATACGTTTTCCTCCATGAAATGTATGGCATGATGGAGATGGCACTGCAGTGGATAGCTGCCGTCTTAAAGGCTCCTGACCAATTCTGTTAGTTTGTGTTTTTTTACACTGATCTGAACTTTTTTTGTACATAATGTTTCCGTTATAATTTCCTATGACCGAAAACAGCTTCTGGACATCAGAACGGCGATCACTAACCTTGATTTGGATGAAGATTTATTCTTCAACGAGTCAGGCAGCTCTGGATGTTATGCTTACGCCGGACCAGGCCCTTATCCCTGGGACTCTAAAGCTGTGGTGAAAGAGAGGCAAGCAAGGTGGCGTCATGATTTGACTAAGTTGGCGAGCATCTAGACCACCATTGCCCTCTGTTTTGTTGACGAACGTACAATCACTAGAGAACAAATTGGATGAGCTCTGTTCAAGACTATCCTATCAATGGGACCTGAAGAACTGTAATATCCTATGTTTTTCTCTAAGTCGTGGCTGACCAAGGACATGTATAATATACACCTCACTGGCTTTTCCATGCATCGTCAAGATTGGACAGCAGCCTCGAGTAAGCTTAGAGGGGGAGGGGTGTGTATTTGTTAACACTAGAACCGCCATAGCCCAACGACCACCTGACACATTTGATTTTGTAAATAGAAAAAAATCTGCCGAAAAAAAGCTATGTCCTGCTCCTTCCATTACTTTTCCTAAATGTTTGTATTTTACACTGCTCAGTTGTCAGAATTTTGAAATCACAAACAGAAAAGTATTCAGAGCCTTTTTACTTGTTTTTTTCACACCTATTCCAAACTTAATCTGCCAAGACAATGTGCTGTAGGATGTTGATAACCAGCCAGGCGCTAATGCGTCTACTTCTCCTCACTGAATGAATGACAAATGGGTGAATGGGCGATAATTGTGCAGCTTACTTCACAATTGAATTGAAATTAGGCCTAACTGAATGATGAGGGTGAAGAGGTTGATTTAATTTAATGAGTTTGTGTTATGCCTATTTATCAGCAGCAAATCATTTGACCGCGCGCCTTGTGGGTTGATACCTTTCTATTTTACGTTTTACTTTGTAAAAATAAGCTGTTATGGGACTATTTTTATTTACTACAACTATATTACTAATCAAATGTATTGTAAAGGAAACGAAAACATGCTACATGTTGCAGTAGGCCTTTAGAATAATGCAAAACATATCCTTGACTCTATCCAGCGAATTTTTTTTAGTCATTTAGCAGACGCTCTTATCCAGAGAGAGTTACAGTTAGTGAGTGCATACATTTTTTTTTTCATACTGGCCCCCCGTGGGAATCGAACCCACAACCCTAGCGTTGCAAGCGCCATGCTCTACCAACTGAGCTACACGCGGCCAAAAACAAACAAACGATGCCGGCCCACTGAATGAATGACAAATGGATGGAATGGGCAATAATTGTACAAGTTACTTCACAATTGAATTAAATTAGGCCTAACTGTAGTTGATTTAATTTAGAACAACAATAATGTAATGATGAGTTTGTTATGCTTATTTATCAGTGTTGACGCTCATGTTAATAATTTGACCGCGCGCCTTGTCGGTTGATACCATTCTTTTACTTTGTAAAAACCAGCTGTTACAGGACTGTTTTATTTACTGTAACTCTGTTACTAATCACATTTATTGTAAGGGAAATGAAAACATGCTACAGTTGAAGTCGGAAGTTTACATACACCTTAGCCAAATACATTTAAACTCAGTTTTTCACAATTCCTGACATTTAATCCTAGTAAAAAAAAAACATTCCCTGTCTTAGGTCAGTTAGGATCACCACTTTATTTTAAGAATGTGAAATGTCAGAATAATAGTAGAGAATGATTTATTTCAGCTTTTATTTCTTTCATCACATTCCAAGTGGGTCAGAAGTTTACATACTCTCAATTAGTATTTGGTAGCATTGCCTTTAAATTGTTTAACTTGGGTCAAACGTTTCGGGTAGCCTTCCACAAGCTTCCCGCAATAAGTTGGGTGAATTTTGGCCCATTCCTCCTGACAGAGCTGATGTAACTGAGTCAGGTTTGTAGGCGTACTTGCTCGCACACGCTTTTTCAGTTCTGCCCACATTTTCTATAGGATTGAGGTCAGGGCTTTGTGATGGCCACTCCAATACCTTTACTTTGTTGTCCTTAAGCCATTTTGCCACAACTTTGGAAGTATGCTTGGGGCAATTGTCCATTTGGAAGACCCATTTGCGACCAAGCTTTAACTTCCTGACTGATGTCTTGAGATGTTGCTTCAATATATCCACATAATTTTCCTTCTTCATGATGCCATTTATTTTGTGAAGTGCCCCAGTCCCTCCTGCAGCAAAGCACCCCCACAGCATGATGCTGCCACCCCCGTGCTTAACGGTTGGGATGGTGTTTCCTCGGCTTGCAAGGTACCCCCTTTTTCCTCCAAACATAACGATGGTCATTATGGCCAAACAGTTCTATTTTTCTTTCATCAGACCAGAGGACATTTCTCCAATAAGTAAGATCATTGTCCCCATTTGCAGTTGCAAACCATAGTCTGGCTTTTTTATGGCGGTTTTGGAGCAGTGGCTTCTTCCTTGCTGAGCGGCCTTTTAGGTTATGTCGATATAGGACTCGTTTTACTGTGGATATAGATACTTTTGTACCTGTTTCCTCCAGCATCTTCACAAGGTCCATTGCTGTTGTTCTGGGATTGATTTGCACTTTTCGCACCAAAGTACGTTCATCTCTAGGAGACAGAACGCGTCTCCTTCCTGAGCGGTATGACGGCTGCGTGGTCCCATGGTGTTTATACTTGCGTACTATTGTTTGTACAGATGAACGTGGTACCTTCAGCCATTTGGAAATTGCTCCCAAGGATGAACCAGACTTGTGGAGGTCTACACATTTTATTTCTGAGGTCTTTGGCTGATTTCTTTAGATTTTCCCATGATGTCAAACAAAGAGGCACTGAGTTTGGAGGTAGTCCTTGAAATACATCCACAGATACACCTCCAACTGACTCAAATAATTTTATGGAATTTTCCAAGCTGTTTAAAGGCACAGTCAACTTAGTGTATGTAAACTTCTGACCTACTGGAATTGTGATAGAGTGAATTATGATTGAAATAATCTGTCTGTAAACAATTGTTGGAAAAATTACTTGTCATGCACAAAGTAGATGTCCTAACTGACTTGCCAAAACGATAGTTTGTTAACAAGAAATGTGTGGAGTGGTTGAAAAACTAGTTTTAATGACTCCAACCTAAGTGTATGTAAACTTCCGACTTCAACTGTATGTGTTGCTGTAAGCCTTTAGAATAATGCAAAATATATCCTTGACTCTATCCATGATGATGAACGGGGAACAAACGATGCCAGTCAGCCTGCACAGCCGGCCCATCGAAACTATACCGACACTTATTTCACACATAAGATTTAGCCTATATACAAGATTACATTGACAATATTAGCCCTATCAGTTGTCAAATTGTACATGAATAGATGGGTGCATCTTGTAATTGACAGATGCAGGTAAAGGAGCATCACTTTATCAAGTCCTCCTTACATTTTAGTCATTTAGCAGACGCTCTTATCCAGAGCGACTTACAGGAGCGATTAGGGTTAAGTGCCTTGCTCAAGGGCACATCGACAGATTTTTCACCTAGTCGGCTCGACGACCTTTCTGTTACTGGCACAACGCTCTTAACCACTAAGCTACCTGCCGCTACTTCAGTCACATGCAGGTAAAACAATTTGATTTCTATATAGTATCAGAAAAAGCATATTCTGCAGTTTCCATGACACTTACCTTTGTAAAAAACACTCAATTCAAGAGGTTCAGCTTTATTTCTAAATTTCACTTTTTCCAAGAATATCCATGCTGTCCATGTATTCAGCACATGACCACTCGCGCAACAGCATTGCTTTGGCTACTAAGCAAAAACTAGTAACATAATAAAATTAAAATATTATGTTCTGTCGTCAATGGATGAATGTGCGATTACAAACTGATAATGGTGCATGTGACTTCAAAACTGAATGATGAAGAGGGTGATTTGAATTTGATCTGACTGACGAGGGCGAAAAGGATGATTGGAATTTAGAACAATAGTGTAATGATGATGAAGAATTGTGTTTTTTGTGGTCTATTTTATTATAAAAGGCTGAAAATTGTATATAATTTCCCCTCGGAGAGTCAAATCATACACTGAGTACAACATACAATGTGTGTAGTTCACAGTGGCAAGCCAATCCAAATGCTACAGAATTTAGATGAGTTGGAGTCAGATGGAGGATCTGATATTGAGCCTAAATCAACGTTGCTGATGAAGACTCTTCATCTGATTCTGATGTTGACTTCGAACTTCCACCTCTGGGACCTGAGCCTCACCGTGGGAAAAACCAGAACAGAGCCAACTGAGACGGTGATCCCAACTGCGCACAGAAAAGGAAACAGTATGTGGGACATGTCTATGGATGAACTCAAAGCATTTATTGCACTCTTGTATGTCCGCGGGGCATACGGCGGAAAGAGCATGGATGTGGAGTCATTTCTGTCTGATAGGTATGGGGTGGACCATACCATGCAACAGCTTCAGAGAGATGATGCGACACTTGTGGCAGGTGCACACGAAACAAGGCCCATGAAAACTGTGCAGTGCAACCGATTTTGTTTGTGGGGCTTGCTCACACAAAGCCCTGACGCTGTGTGCTGACTGTGGACCCGAAGCATAAAGCGAAGACAAGATTGATTAATGCGCATAAGGGCACAATACAGTATCCGATACAATCAACAAATTACTGTTTTTATATATTGTAATTCATATTTTTCCACATTTATTTATGCAATTCATCCTTTTCTAATTGTTCATGCACTGGTGCTTTTAATTTCACTTGTGCACCTTGCTGGTTATATAATATTTTTCATTTCTACTTTGTCAAAAGAAGCTGTAACTTCTGGACTATAACTCTATTAGTAATCGAATCTACAGATCATGTTGATCAAATGGATTATACTGTTAGGTTTTTATTGGAAGGGAAATAAAAATAGGCTGTTTTTTTTCTAGGACTTTGTAGAATTATACAAAACATATCCTTGACTCAAATTGATATATTTCCACTATTATTTCTTCATGCAATTAAACCTTCGCAATAGTTTATGCAATATTTATCAAGCGTTGGCGCTTACGTTTGCGCACCTTGTGGGTTGATATGCATCTGATGCATATGCTAAATAAAGGGGACGCCCAGCAACGTTCTCTAGGATGAAAGGCCAGGCGGTTCTATTGTTAACAGCTAATGTTAAAGTCTCAAATTTTTGCTCGCCTGAGTTAGAATACCTCATGATAAGCTGCAGACCATACTATTTACCAAGATACTTTTTCACGCCACTGTAGATGAAAACTATTTGCCCCTTTTTCTGATTTTATATATTTGTGCATATTTTTGGTATTGAATGTTAAGATCTTCAACCAAAACCAAATATTAGATGAAGGGAACCTTAGTTTACAAATAACCCCACCCTCAAAAATGGATACTTATTTAATTAACAAAGTTGTGCAACACTCAATTCCCCCGTGTTAAAAAGTAATTGCCCCCTTACACTCAATAACTGGTTGTGCCACCTTTAGCTGCAATGACTGAAACCAAATGCTTCCTGTAGTTGTTTATCAGTCTCACATCGCTGTGGAGGAATTTTGGCCCACTCTTGCATTTGTGGGTTTTCAAGCATGAACTGCTCGTTTCAAGTCCTGCCACAACATCTCTATTGGGATTAGGTCTGGACTTTGACTAGGCCATTCCAAAACTTCAAATTTGTTGCTTTATTAGCCATTTTCATGTAGACTTGATTGTGTGTTTTGGATCATTGTCTTGCTGCATGAAGCAGCTGCGCTTTAGCTTCAGCCTAGCCTGACATTCTGCTGTAGAATTCTCTGATACAGAGCAGAATTCATGGTTCCTTCTATTAAGGTCGTCCAGGTCCTGAGGAAGCAAAGCATCCCCAAACCATCACACTGCCACCACCATGCTTGACCGTTGGTATGAGGTTCTTACTGTGGAATGCAGTGTTTGGTTTTCGCCAGGCGTACTGGGACCCATGTCATCCAAAAAGTTGAGTCAAGTTTGCCAAAAAGCACCTGGATGATCATCAAGACTCTTGGAAGAACGTTCTATGGACAGATGATTCAAAAGTACACCCCATCCACATCGACGGGTCTGTAGTGGAGCAGGTCGAGAGCTTAAAGTTCCTCTGTGTCAACATCACTAAGGAATTAACATGGTCCACACACACCAACACAGTCGTGAAGAATGCACAGCAACGCCTCTTCCCCCTCAGGAGGCTAAAAAGATTTGGCATGGGGCCCTCAGATCCTCAAAGTTCTACAGCTGCACCATGGGGAGCATCCTGACTGGCTCCATCACCGCCTGGTATGGCAACTGCTTGGTATCCGACCGCAAGGTAGTGCGTACAGCCCAGTACTTCACTGGGGCCGGGCTCCCTGCCATCCAGGACCTCTATACCAGGCGGTGTCAGAGGAAGGCCCTTAAAATTGTCCGACTCCAGCCACCCAAGTCACACTGCTCTCTATGCTACCGCATTGCAAGCGGTACCGATGCACCAAGTCTGGAACCAACAGGACCCTGAACAGCTTCTACCCCCAAGCCATAAGACTACTAAATAGTTATAGGTGCAATATTCAGAATTCGCTCCGCCATTTCCTGGTTGCTAAAAATCGAATAGTTCACCTAATTTCCGTTGGTAACAAAACAAGCAATGCATAGTGTAGAGAATCCTTGTACCATCTTAAGCGCTGTGAAGTATATTTTCAATAACCCAAAATATTGTATTTTCAGCTGTTTGAAGCTGGTGTACAAAACCGAAAGTAAACGACGCAAAAATGAAACTTAAGGGATGCGTAGAAATAGCCAAATAGAACAGATCTACCGCTTTAAAGATTTGCTTTCAATAAGAATGACATCTAAAATTCATATTTCTATGTGAATTTGGTCGGGTTGACCAAAAAGTTACATATTGCAGCTTTAACAAAATAGCTACCCGGACTGTCTGCATTGACCCTCTTAGCACTAACTCCTTTGACTCATCACATATGCTACTGCTACTGTTTATTATCTATTCTGTTGCATATTCACTTTACCCCTACCTATATTAGGTCCAGGACGATACCAGTATTAAGGTACTCGTTAGTATCGTGGCAACGAAAGAGAACACGATGCGGAATAAACTGCTTTAGGAAAACAGCCCTAATGTTGGAAAACAAAAATCATTATTTTGTCATCCAGAGTCACATTTATTTATTTTCTAAGCTATAGCACACAATATTTTACATACAGCAGGTTTTTAAATGACCAAAGAGTTCTGCTTCATGTTTTCATTTTTGGCATGGGAAAAATATTGCGATATGAAAAAAATTAAAATATATTGCGACATTGTCCTGGCCCTAACATACACTACCGGTCAAAAGTTTTAGAACACCTACTCATTCAAGGGTTTTTCTTTATTTTTACTATTTTCTACATTGTAGAATAATAGTGAAGACATCAAAACTATGAAATAACACATGTATCATGTAGTAACCAAAAAAGTGTTAAACAAATCAAAATATATTTTATATTTGAGATTCTTCAAATAGCCACCCTTTGCCTTGATGCCAGCTTTGCACACTCTTGGCATTCTCTCAACCAGCTTCACCTGGAATGCTTTTCCAACAGTCTTAAAGGAGTTCCTACATATGCTGAGCACTTGTTGGCTGCTTTTCCTTCACTCTGCGGTCCAACTCATCCCAAACCATCTCAATTTGGTTGAGGTCAGGGAATTGTGGAGGCCAGGTCATCTGATGCAGCTCTCCATCACTCTCCTTGATAAAATATTCCTTACACAGCCTGGAGGTGTGTTGGGTCATTGTCCTGTTGAAAAACAAATGATAGTCCCACTAAGCCCAAACCAGATGGGCTGGCGTATCGCTGCAGAATGCTGTGGTAGCCATGCTGGTTAAGTGTGCCTTGAATTCTAAATAAATTACAGATAGTGTCACCAGCAAAGCACCCCCACACCATAACACCACCACCTCCATGCTTGACCGGTAGTGTATATGTACATATCTACTTAAATTACCTCGTACACCTGCACATCGACACTGTACTGGTACCCCGTGTATATAGCCAAGTTATCGTTACTCATTGTGTATTCATTCCTTGTGTTATTATTTTTCTCTCTGCATTGTTGGGAAGTAATTCCACTAGACAGGGACCATCACTGCTAGGTTACTAGACCTAATGTAATCATCCAGTGGACTGCTGAGGAGCTACATTAGTGGCTGCAGACTGCAGCTTCCTGAAGCCTCTGGCCCTACTGTAAGTGCCAAGCCCTTCCCATCTCTGTTTGCACTCACTGGGAGTCTGGGTCGTGTTCATTAGGCACCACATGAAAGAAAACTGACTAAAACAGGGAGGGACTTTCTGGACTCCAATCAATAGTGCTAAATTCTATTGTATGTTGCAAAACGTTTTAAAACATTGTGCCCTTATGAACAGACCAAGTTCTCAGCTGAGTCCCCACAGAGGGAACCGTTGAGACCGATACGGATGCCACTAGCTTAGCGGCTGAGTTTGAACCAGGGCCAACAATGACTAATGGCGCGAGTGTTGTTAGCACACTACGTTCATATTACAATTGTCCCTCACGGGGGGACGCCTGAATATTAACATGGAGATTGTGCTGGGGAACAGGGGCTGTAATTCAAAACTCTCCATTACGGAGCAATTTGAGACGTATCTGATCTAGCCCCTTGACGGGCTAGTGGCAATTTGCTGAAATGCTTTTCAAGAGTCATGTTTGAGAGAGTAGCTCACTACCACTAATCAACAGCTACAGGCACTCCTCTATTAGAAACTAAGAAGTGATAGCTGTGATCTTTCACTTGCACTATACTATATATCTTAAGAGATGAATAAATGTCTTAACATAGATGTCTAAATCTTAAATGACATGGCTCATGGGGGGAAAAAAGTAAATCTTCACCTAAAGAGATGTATCTATATAGATTCCCATGGATCTAGCCTTGTCCCATGTTCTGTATGTGCAGGTACAGTATGGCATGACAATAGAGGAGTTGGCTATAGCACATTATGGAACGAGGCTGCCATGGATCATCTATGGGAGAAATTCTTCAGCTGGACACGAGGGTCTCTGTGATTCTCGTTGGTATCTGGCGAAGGTTTGACATTCCTCATTTAGCAAAAATGTTATTAATGTTACTGTAGGCTAAACTAGTCTAACGGGAGTAGAGAAGCATTGACGGAAACTGCTTTTGGTGTCAGTGCTTTCATGGTTTACACCAATAAGAGACTGGTCAGTATAATCATCACTGGTGTAGCATCTTCTCTACACTGAATACATATACTTTTTCAGAGGGGAGACGGGTCTAATACTACACCAAACAGAAGAAAATTGTGTGAAACTAAGTCGTCTTATCTGCACTTGCCATTAAGAAATTCTAATTTCCGTTTTCTGTAAACGTTTTGAAATGTTTTGCTTTGTGTACCCTAATGTACTTGCCTGTCCACTCATGCTGAATTTAATTCCGCTGCTCTATCGATGGCGCCATACATTGTCTGAAACTGCCATCCTAGAAGTTGTTTGTGCAGACCTCAAAATGAGGGGCAATTAATCAGCGATCTAACCATTTTAGAATATCAAAGTTGATAACATCATCATGTAGTCCGACTCTGGCTTAACGCATCTGTTTCTAGGACCAATCAGAACAGTCAGAATGTGTTTGCATTCTAGAAAATGTCAGGGAGGAAAGCAAATCCAGACTCGTCGTGGAAAAAGAAACGCTAGTTTGGCTGGAGCAATGTGGATGGGTAGTCGGGCTACTAATGAACACGACCCAGTTCTGAAAGCTCAAGGCCAACAACTTCAGAGGAATCCTATGATTGCATTACTCTCTGACCCCCGTCTTAGTTCTCCCCCCACTAACTTTCCTTCCCTTGGGAATCAATTCACTGCATTAGGGCTCTTCTTGTAATGTGGATTTAGGATTAGAAAGTAGCAACAGGGCATAGATGGGAGAACAAAGAGGCAGTGTCCTCCATGAGCGGGCTGGACCCAGTCCAAGAACAACCAACTGTGTAGACCTCTTATTACTAATCTCCAACCGTCAGCAGTCCAGCGAGAGAGGCGCTCCCCCTGAAGAGTAGCTGTACTAAATTGCGGAAATGAGCAACAAATAGACAAAACAGATTAGCCAAATTGGTAGAAACCATTTGTAGGATGAGGTAGTCTTTTTCCAGCATTGATTCATACAAAAGGATTCACAGATTGTGTGGGCTTACTACGGGGTAGGCCGTCATTGTAAATAAGAATTTGTTCTTAACTGACTTGCCTACTTAAATAATAAAGGTAAAATAAAGTTTTCCTCTGTGCCCCTGCCCAGTAACATTTCACTATTTGTTATAATATAATTTCAGACATGCATTTAAGTGGTGTTTGTGCTTTGAATGGGAGCTTACCTCTGTGCCAGAGAGCAGGGTTGTGTTTATTAGGGCACGTTTTAAAACGTTTTGCAACGTTTATTGGACCAGGTCCCTCAGTTTGTCTGTTTTTTTCCATTTGACTCAGGCTTTGATAGCAGCAGTGGTACGTGGGTAAAATCACCAGGGAAGCCAATCCAGAAAAAAAAGGCATATTACAACCTATGTGTTATGATAATTGCATTTGCTCTACAACCTATTAGTTCATATGCCTTGACGCCGTGATACTTTTGGTAATGTAGTGTATGTGGACACCTGCTGCTATAACAGCCTCCACTCTTCTGGGAAGGCTTTCCACTAGATGTTGGAACATTGCTGCGGGGACTTGCTTCCATTCAGCCACGAGCATCAGTGAGGTCGGGCACTGATGTTGGCTGATTAGGCCAGGCTTGCAGTCGGCGTTCCAATTCATCCCAAAGGTGTTCGATGGGGTTGATTCAGGGCTCTGTGCAGGCCCGTCAAGTTCTTCCACACCGATCTCGACAAACCATTTCTGTATGGACCTCGTGACGGTGCCACGTTAAATCTTCAGTAAGGCCATTCTACTGCCAATGTTTGTCTATGGAGATTGCATGGCGGTGTGCTCGATTTTATACACCTGACAGCAATGGGTGTGGCTGAAATAGCTGAATCCACTCATTTGAAGGGGTGTCCACATACGTGTGTGATATATATTTGGCTAAGGCCGAGACAATGAGAAGACACAGTGGCAGAATACATTCAACCACACACTTGTTTCATTACAAAACCGGAGAGCAACATCTGTCCGGTGAAGTCCACAAAACATATTGCATGTAACAAACCATCTGTCCTCGGTTGCAACACTCAGTAACAAGTTCCAAACTGCCTCTGGAAGCAACGTCAGCACAATAACTGTTTGTCGGGAGCTTCATGAAAAGGTTTTCCATGGCCAAGCAGTCGCACACAAGCCTAAGGTCACCAGGCGCAATGCCAAGCATCGGCTGGAGTGGTGTAAAGCTCGCCGCCATTGGACTCTGGAGCAGTGCAAACGCGTTCTCTGGCGTGATGAATTATGCTTTACTATCTGGCAGTCTGACGGACAAATCTGGGTTTGGTGGATGCCAGGAGAACGCTACCTGCCCGACTGCATCGTGCCAACTGTACAGTTTGGTGCAGGAGGAATAATGGTCTGGGGAAGGCCCTTTTCTGTTTCCGCATGACAATGCCCCCGTGCACAAAGTGAGGTCCATACAGAAATGGTTTGTCGAGATCGGTGTGGAAGAACTTGACTGGCCTGCACAGAGCCCTGACCTCAACCCCATCGAACACCTTTGGGATGAATTGGAACGCCGACTGAGTGCCAGGCCTTATCGGCCAACATCACTGCCCAACGTCACTAATGCTCTTGTGGCTGAATGGAAGCTAGTCCCCGCAGCAATGTTACAACATCTAGTGGAAAGCATTCCCAGAAGAGTGGAGGCTGTTATAGCAGCAAAGGGCGGACCAACTCTATGTTAATGGCCATGATTTTGGAATGAGACGTTCGACAAGCGGGTGTCCACATACTTTTGACAATGTAGTGTACATTCAGCCTCTTGTAAATTGAAGAAAAGGTATGAAACACAAAGACGAAAGACAAAAATAATTTCTTTTTTTCTTGGTATATGTTTTAGGGAAGCCTGGCTTCCCTTGGCCTCCATGAATAAGCGGCGATATTTACAATGTAGAAAATAGTCAAAATAAAGAAAAACCCTGGAATGAGTAGGTGTCCAAACTTTTGAATGGTACTGTATGTTTGTTTTACTATTCTTGTGGGGACCAAAACATTTATTCCCATTCAAAATCCGATTTTATCTTAAACCCTAAAACTAAATCTAACCTCTAATTCTAACACACTCCCTAATTGTAACCCTAAAAATAAACCTTACCCCTTAAAAAGTGTTTTTCCTTGTGGGGACCGGCAAATTTTCTTTGTTTTACTATCCTTGTCAGGACTTCTAGTCCCCACAAGAATAGTAAAACCACACCACTCACAAACAAAGGGATATGGAGACAGCTTCTAGCTTGTCCCTCCCTGTTTGTGTTTTCCTGCCTAATAAACACGACCCATTAAGTAAATGCCCTAATTTATATTCAGCTTCTTAGAAACCATTCTGCATCTAGCTCCAATAACAATGAGAACGGTTTTGTTCAGTAGGGCACAACGTAACAAAACTTCTAACATCGAAAATGAAAATGATTGGATGAGTCAAGGTTTTGGTGCCTAATGAACATAACTCAGTCAATGCGCTGATTTTTATTCAGCTGAGAACCTACTGTATCTACTTCCAATAACAATAAAATGGAGTCTTTGTTCCCTAAAAGCTTTCTTGTTAAAGGTTGTGTTGTGTTTATGGGGAGAGTGAATTTCTGTGGAATTATCCTATTCATATCTGTATTTCAATACAAGCAGGCGAGCTAGGGACTGACACTTAATACATATTTGCCTCCTCGTCCAAGTGCTTTGTAATGGATGACAGATGACACTATTTTCCCAAGAGATGTCTTCTGTCTGATGTCAACTCTTTTTAAAGGCCTGGACTCAGGTGCGTGTACTGCCTCATAGCCACTTTGGCAGCAATCGGTCCCTTCCCAATTTGCAGATCAATATGGATTGCGTCCCATATGGCACCCTACTGGGCTCTGGTCAGAAGTAGTGCACTATGGGGGATAGGGTGCTATTTGGGACACAACCAATGTATTGCAGTTGCTTGTTGGGCCCTTAGTATTGTGGAAAATCTATGTTCCTTTTTCCTCTGTCAGAGGTCACTGGTGTGGTATTTCAATGTTTCTGGAATCGAATCGTTATTATCTGATTACGGTAATTAATCACTTTGTTCTGCTCCACTGTGTTACAACTTTGTGTTGCTGATTCAACTTGTTTCTGACTACTAAGATCAGTTTTCAATTCCAACCACACATAAATTCAGATTGTCCTTAAGTTTCCTAAATGATTAAAGCTGAATAATGAACTTAAAACGCTACAATGTAATTTTATGTCACTAAACTGCACCCTTACTTGGGATTCTTTCTTATTGTTTGAAAGGGACGTTTCCAGCCAGCACTTTGGGGTCTTACAGTCTTGTGGCCATAGCTGGAGGTCTCGGTCTCCAGCGGATATGTCAGGGCACAAACATTGTGGAAAGTTCATATAGAAATATACTGTCTAGAACAAACATGACATGTAGAATAAGGAATCGCCTACTGCTGAACGTGTTGTTGAGATGACTGAATGAGAGATCACTGGGACCTCTTTTTATGGAACTATTTCCCATGGGCATCTGAAAGAGAGAAGCATCAAATGTAGTTTGTGGGCTCTCTTTCTAGGGCACTGGCGAGAAACAAAGACTGGGAGTAAGAGCGAGTGAGCGAGACAAAGGGACAGAGAGAGACACAGAGAGGGAGAGAGTTGTAGGCAGACATCCTTACAGAAGACGGAGGTTACACAGCTGGCCCACTGCAGATCTGCTAGCGCAGCAGTACGGTACATCATTAATTGGACGGCTAACGCTGATGTCAAGTTTAAAGTCTGGGTAGGAAATACCTAGGCATGACATCTCCCTCTGATGCTCAGGCACGGTGGTGTTGCTCAGCATGAGGAGTACTAATATTTTAAGGCTGCAACATCTCTACTTTAGAGATATCTCCACTCTCGAAGTACATGATGGGCCAGTTTTAGCCTAGTCCTTGGCTAAAAAGCATGCTCAACAGAGATTGTTTTTTTTGTCCAGGAGTAGGTGTAATCTGTGTAAGCCCGTTTCATGGACACACCAACTCGAAGGGAACAGTTCTTGTTACTTAACAAGTCCTGTACATATCCTCTCCTCGGTGCATTGTGTGTGTGAAGTTCAATGGTTCAAAGTCTAGATTAGAGAGCCCTCATGCAAATGTCCCTTCCCCTCCAGTAGTTAAAACTTCTCACTCTGCATCAGTTACCTATTATAATTCGTACCAGGTAGGAGTGGTGCCTTTGCATTGCAAAAATTGGCAGGGGTGATATGTTATCTCTGCTTTCAAGAATTGGCTGTGTGACAACTTTTACAGGGCCCATGGCATGCATGTTGGGCTCAAGGCCCAATTTTAAAGGGATAGTTCAGCGAAATTACATATTTAAATACCGGTATCTTAAATGAATTGTGTTGCTCAAAAAAATGAAGGGAACACTTAAACAACACATCCTAGATCTGAATGAATGAAATAATCTTATTAAATACTTTTTTCTTTACATAGTTGAATGTGCTGACAACAAAATCACACAAAAATGATCAATGGAAATCAAATTTATCAATCCATGAAGGTCTGGATTTGGAGTCACCCTCAAAATTAAAGTGGAAAGCCACACTACAGGCTGATCCAACTTTGATGTAATGTCCTTAAAACAAGTCAAAATGAGGCTCAGTAGTGTGTGTGGCCTCCACGTGCCTGTATGACCTCCCTACAACGCCTGGGCATGCTCCTGATGAGGTGGCGGATGGTCTCTTGAGGGATCTCCTCCCAGACCTGGACTAAAGCATCCGCCAACTCCTGGACGGTCTTTGGTGCAACGTGGCGTTAGTGGATGGAGCGAGACATGATGTCCCAGACGTGCTCAATTGGATTCAGGTCTGGGGAACGGGCGGGCCAGTCCATAGCATCAATGCCTTCCTCTTGCAGGAACTGCTGACACACTCCAGCCACATGAGGTCTAGCATTGTCTTGCATTAGGAGGAACCCAGGGCCAACCGCACCAGCATATGGTCTCACAAGGGGTCTGAGGATCTCATCTCGATACCTAATTGCAGTCAGGCTACCTCTGGCGAGCACATGGAGGGCTGTGTGGCCCCCCAAAGAAATGCCACCCCACACCATGACTGACCCACCGCCAAACCGGTCATGCTGGAGGATGTTGCAGGCAGCAGAACGTTCTCCACGGCGTCTCCAGACTCTGTCACGTCTGTCACGTGCTCAGTGTGAACCTGCTTTCATCTGTGAAGAGCACAGGGCGCCAGTTGTGAATTTGCCAATCTTGGTGTTCTCTGGCAAATGCCAAACGTCCTGCACGGTGTTGGGCTGTGAGCACAACCCCCACCTGTGGACGTCGGGCCCTCATACCACCCTCATGGAGTCTGTTTCTGACCGTTTGAGCAGACACATGCACATTTGTGACCTGCTGGAGGTCATTTTGCAGGGCTCTGGCAGTGCTCCTCCTGCTCCTCCTTGCACAAAGGCGGAGGTAGCGGTCCTGCTGCTGGGTTGTTGCCCTCCTACGGCCTCCTCCACATCTCCTGATGTACTGGCCTGTCTCCTGGTAGCGCCTCCATGCTCTGGACACTACGCTGACAGACACAGCAAACCTTCTTGCCACAGCTCGCATTGATGTGCCATCCTGGATGAGCTGCACTACCTGAGCCACTTGTGTGGGTTGTAGTCTCTGTCTCATGCTACCACTAGAGTGAAAGCACCGCCAGCATTCAAAAGTGACCAAAACATCAGCCAGGAAGCATAGGAACTGAGAAGTGGTCTGTGGTCACCACCTGCAGAACCACTTCATTATTGGGGGTGTCTTGCTAATTGCCTATAATTTCCACCTGTTGTCTATTCCATTTGCACAACAGCATGTGAAATGTATTGTCAATCAGTGTTGCTTCCTAAGTGGACAGTTTGATTTCACAGAAGTGTGATTGACTTGGAGTTACATTGTGTTGTTTAAGTGTTCCCTTCATTTTTTTGAGCAGTGTGTATATATATATATATATATATATATATATATAGATATATATATATATATATATAGATAGATAGATAGATAGATAGATAGATAGATAGATATAGCCTACTCTGAACAGACTAATTTGGGGAGCTTTTCGCTCAAAAGAAGGGCAGAGATGGGGCTGGGCGACGTATCAATAGTAAAACCACACCAGTGCCTTGTAAAAGTATTCATCCCCTTGGCGTTTTTCCTATTTTGTTGCATTACAACCTGTAATTTAAATGGATTTTTATTTGGATTTCATGGAATGGACATACACAAAATAGTCCAAATTGGTGAAGTGAAATTTTTAAAATAACTTGTTTAAAAGAATGCAAAAAAATAAATAACGAAAAAGTGGTGCGTGCATATGTATTCACCCCCTTTGCTATGAAGCCCCTAAAATAAGAACTGGTGCAACCAATTACCTTCAGAAGTCACATAATTAGTTATATTGCACACAGGTGGACTTTATTTAAGTGTCACATGATCTCAGTATATATACACCTGTTCTGAAAGGCCCCAGAGTGTGCAACACCAGTAAGCAAGGGGCACCACCAAGCAAGCGGCACCATGAAGACCAAGGAGCTCTCCAAACAGGTCAGGGACAAAGTTGTGGAGAAGTACAGATCAGGGTTGGGTTATAAAAAAATATCAGAAACTTTGAACATCCCATAGAGCACCATTAAATCCATTATAAAAAAATGGAAAGAATATGGCACCACAACAAACCTGCCAAGAGAGGGCCGCCCACCAAAACTCACAGACCAGGCAAGGAGGACATTCATCAGAGCGGCAACAAAGAGACCGAAGATAACCCTGAAGGAGCTGCAAAGGTCCACAGCGGAGATTGGAGTATCTGTCCATAGGACCACTTTAAGCCGTACACTCCACAGAGCTGGGCTTTACGGAAGAGTGGCTAGAAAAAATCCATTGCTTAAAGAAAAAAATAAGCAAACACGTTTGATGTTCGCCAAAAGCCATGTGGGAGACTCCCCAAACATATAGAAGAAAACTAAAATTGAGCTTTTTGGCCATCAAGGAAAACGCTATGTCCGGTGCAAACCCAACACCTCTCATCACCCCGAGAACACCATCCCCACAGTGAAGCATGGTGGTGGCAGCATCATGCTGTGGGGATGTTTTTACATTGGCAGGGACTGGGAAACCGGTCAGAATTGAAGGAATGATGAATGGCGCTAAATACAGGGAAATTCTTGATGGAAACCTGTTTCAGTTTTCCAGAGATTTGAGACTAGGGCGGCGGTTCACCTTCCAGCAGTACAAATACCCTAAGCATATTGCTAAAGCAACACTTGAGTGGTTTAAGGGGAAACATTTGAATGGCCTAGTCAAAGCCTAGACCTCAATCCAATTGAGAATCTGTGGTATGACTTAAAGATTGCTGTACACTAGCGGAACCCATCCAACTTGAAGGAGCTGGAGCAGTTTTGCCTTGAAGAATGGGCAAAAATCCCAGTGGCTAGATGTGCCAAGTTTATAGAGACATACCCCAAGAGACTTGCAGCTGTAATTGCTGCAAAAGGTGGCTCTACAAAAGTATTGACTTTGGGGGGGTGAATAGTTATGCACGCTCAAGTTTTGGGGGGGAGAAACTCTTACTCTAGTGAAAGGAGGATAAACCGCACCGATTCCAGCAAAACATTTGCCTCTGAAGACTGAGCTGCCTCATGCTAGCCATCTGGAAAACAACGACATAGGACACATTTTCAATGTATTGGTATGTAGCTATGTTTTTATCAATGGTAAGGATGTAGCCACTGGATTCTGGTAGTTTTCACTTGAAAGGAAAAACAATCACAATTTGCCGCTGGCACAGCACTGCCTCTCGCCTCAAGCGTTGCCTCAATCAACGGCACTTGCTATCTGGGATACTTGGGATGTCCCTACCCCCATTTGAAGTTGGCATTTTAAATGGTTACAGTAAAGGTTCAAGTTAGGTAGGGGTTAGGGTTTGGCATAGGGGCGTCCCTGGCACTTTACTGAGCTGGCAAGCTTCTATCTACTCCGCATTCACCGTAGAAGCACTAATGATTAGTTCACTCTCCTGTCCAACTGGTGTAGTTGTGTTGGGTGATAGTGACCAGTATTGCTGTAGTGCACAAAGGCAAGATGGGCGCAAGCTTTTTCTCCGCATCTTATTTCGGTCCTTTTCGGTGGATACAAATGCGTCCGTAAAAGGCCAATATCGGCAGATAATATCGGTCAACCGATAAATCTGTCATGCTCTAAGAACCACCCAAATATATGGCTCTGGTACCACCCTGGTTTTGGCTACTGGTAATGCCCAGGAATTCCAGGAGAGGATGCTTGGTGTTGACTGGAACTGATGGTGATAAGTGTGACTAGAATGCTCAACCAGTCATCAGTGCTGGAATTATACGTCATTGACAGACTGCGAGAGGGCTGAGACCAAGCTTCCTTCCCCTGCCTTTCTGTTTTCTCAATTCACTTCCTGTCCTCTCAATTTACTTCCTGTCCTCTGTTGTCTATGCTGACTCTGCAGTAATTTAACAAGCTCTGGGCAACTGTCTCAGGGCTTGAACCAGTGGAAATGTATATTGATTGGATGGATCTCTCCTTAATAATTTTGTTCATTAGTGTAGAAAAGGTAGCCTGGTCCCAGATCTGTTTGTACTCTTATGGTCGTTGTCAAGGCAAAGAAGTTTGACACACCGCAAAAACAGAGCTGGAACCAGGTACAGGGAGAAACTTATCGGACCTGTCCTGCAGGTATGGCACCAGTATGCAGACTTACCTGTCTAATCTACATAGTGCCTTTTGCTCTGCTAAGAGTTAAAAGGAATAAATCCTGAAATCAAGTCAATCTACATAATGTGAAAGGAACAGGTGGATATTGTTACCCTGTTTTTTGTTGGCTCACTCTTGGACACTGTAGCTACACCCCTCCCCTTAACCTCTTCCCCCCTCTTACAGTATGTTTCCGCTGTGGTGTAGGACAGTGTTTATGAGTCAGCATAAAATGGCACCCAAACAAAGAGGAAATGGAACATTTTAAATGGGAACTGAAAATGACAGAACCAGCCTAACCAGTCAGTGTCCGGGGCTTACATCACAACAGCATTTGTACCAGACTGAGTTGGGAGTGTTTGTTTTTCAACTAGAAAGTATTTTCTTGGATTGATAATATTTTGGGATTTTTGGATAATGTTTTTGGATTTTGTAGGGAGATTCACAGTCTTTATCTGGATCCACTAGAAATCTGGTGTTTTGAAAAAATGATTTCCTTTTTACATACCTCTTGCATAATCAAATCTATATCCTGTTACACCAGGGTTTCGCAAACTCTGTCCTCCGGACCTCAAGGTGTGCACATTTTGGTTTTTGCGCTAGCACTACACAGCTGATTCAACTAATTAACTAATCATCAAGCTTTGATCATTTTGAATCAGCTGTGTAGTGTTAGGGCAAAAACCAAAGCGTTACACCATTTGGTCACTGACACTGTGAAATACACTCATGATGACTCATCAACCATGTGCTGTCTAACATGCAATACTCAGGATATTGCCCTGTATGACCAGATATTGTAGTAGGTAGCCTGGTGGGTAGGAGCGTTGGGCCAGTAACCGAAAGGTTGCTGGATCGAATCACAGAGCTGACAAGGTAAAGATCTGTCGTTCTGCCCCTGAGCAAGGCAGTTAACCCACTGTTCCCTGGGCGCCGACGACGTGGATATCGATTTAAGGCAGCCCCCCGCACCACTCTGATTCAGAGGGGTTGTGTTAAATGCGGAAGACACATTTCAGTTGAATGCATTCAGTTGTACAACTGACTAGGTTTTCCCCTAGATTCATCCTAGATTCTCTTCTTTCCCATGCTCCCTTCACAATGAATTCTATGTGGCATGCATTATGAAGAGGGAAGTGTTATCATAATATATTACCCTTACATTATGGATGTGTGATCTCTTCACATGGGGAAGAAGGAGAGAAGTGCAGCTTCTCTATGAATAGCTCAATGCAGTGGCCTGTGGCACTTACCAATCTGCCGCATCACTTTATAGACCACCTTCGTCACCGTGACGGGAATAATTGCTTTTTTAGAAGGGAATCCTGACTATATTGGTAGTTTACAGTTTAGGCGTGCCAATTGGACTTATGTTAATGCAGCCCTCCCCTCTCCAGAGAGCGTGAGCGTTCGGAAGAGTAAACACGGCCTCCGGCTGTTGTTGATTCTTGGGCCATGGCTGCAGTGCGTGCGTGCGTGCGTGCGTGTGTGTGTGTGTGTGTGTGTGTGTGTGTGTGTGGCCCTAGGGGAAGGGTTGCAGACCAGACGGCCCTAACGGCACGTTGCAACAGTGACCTTCTGCTCTACAAGGATGTGTACAGGCTTGTTTCTCAGTGCCGACTGTGCTGCGCTTCTGTTGACAATTATGGGATGTTAATAGTTTCTTGTGTAAAGACGAGGGCTTCTTCCACCCCTGATGTAGTTATCTTCGCAGCCATATTGTTGTGCTGCCATAAAAGGAAAAATAGATTTGCTCCTCGGTCATGTAAATGCATACAGTTGAAGTCAGAAGTTTACATACACCTTAGCCAAATACATTTAAACTCAGTTTTTCACAATTCCTGACATTTAATCCAAGTAAAAATTACCTGTCTTAGGTCAGTTAGGATCACCACTTTATTTTAAGTATGTGAAATGTCAGAACAATAGTAGAGAATTATTTATTTCAGCTTTTATTTCTTTCATCACATTCCCAGCGGGTCAGAAGTTTACATACACTCAATTAGTATTTGGTAGCATTGCCTTTAAATAGTTTAACTTGGGTCAAACGTTTCGGGTAGCCTTCCACAAGCTTCCCACAATAAGTTGGGTGAATTTTGGCCCATTCCTCCTGTCAGAGCTGGTGTAACTAAGTCAGGTTTGCAGGCCTCCTTGCTTGCACATGCTTTTTCAGTTCTGCCCTCAAATGATCTATAGGATTGAGGTCAGGGCTTTGTGATGGCCACTCCAATACCTTGACTTTGTTGTCCTTAAGCCATTTTGCCACAACTTTGGAAGTATGCTTGGGGTCATTGTCCATTTGGAAGACCCATTTGCAACCAAGCTTTAACTTCGTGACTGATGTCTTGAGATATCCACATCATTTTCCTTCCTCATGATGCCATCTATTTTGTGAAGTGCACCAGTCCCTCCTGCAGCAAAGCACCCCCACAGCATGATGCTGCCAACCCTGTGCGTCACGGTTGGGATGGTGTTCTTCGGCTTGCAGGCTACTCCCTTTTTCCTCCAAACATAATGATGGTCATTATGGCCAAACAGTTCTATTTTTCTTTCATCAGACCAGAGGACATTTCTCCAAAAAGTAAGATCTTTGTCCCCATGTGCAGTTGCAAACCGTAGTCTGGCTTTTTTATGGCGGTTTTGGAGCAGTGGCTTCTTCCTTGCTGAGCGGCCTTTCAGGTTATGTCGATATAGGACTCATTTTACTGTGGCTATAGATACATTTGTACCTGTTTCCTCCAGAACCTTCACAAGGTCCTTTGCTGTTGTTCTGGGATTGATTTGCACTTTTCGCACCAAAGTACGTTCCTCTCTAGGAGACAGAACGCGTCTCCTTCCTGAGTGGTATGACGGCTGCGTGGCCCCATGGTGTTTATACTTGCGTACTATTGTTTGTACAGATGAACGTGGTACCTTGAGGTGTTTGTAAATTGCTCTCAAGGATGAACCAGACTTGTGGAGGTCTACAATTGTTTTTTCTGAGGTCTTGGCTTATTTTCTTTTGATTTTCACATGATGTCAAGCAAAGAGGCACTGCGTTTGACGGTAGGCCTTGAAATACATCCACAGGTACACCTCCAATTGACTCAAATGATGTCAATTAGCCTAGCAGAAGCTTCTAAAGCAATGACATCATTTTCTGGAATTTTCCAAGCTGTTTAAAGGCACAGTCAACTTAGTGTATGTACATTTCTGACCCACTGGAATTGTGATACAGTGAAATCTGTCTGTAAACAATTACTTGTGTCATGCACAAAGTAGATGTCCTAACCAACTTGCCAAAACTATTGTTTGTTAACAAGAAATGTGTGGAGACTTCAACTGTATATATTTTATATCAGATAAGGAGTATTAGTTTTGGTATGAAATTGAAGGCAAGAAATTGTCATTTCCACTTTATTCATGAGAATTTGCATCAACATAACTAAACAGAACAATCACCATGGCACGAACTATCCTGCTTTAGCTTAATGTTTTACGGGTCAATCACATTATAATCCCTCAGTATGGAGTATTAAGAGACAACTTTGTGTGGTGCTTGTGTGTTTGCTGGAATATTGCTATTTAACCTATGGTCCTCTTGTCACATCTGCAGGTGTCCATACCTGGCAATCCACCTGTCCCCTGCCATCCCGGTCTTCGCTATCGTCCTCTTCCTCTTCGTCATGGCCATGCTGCTAAGGACCAGCTTCAGTGACCCGGGGGTGTTGCCGCGTGCACTCCCCGAGGAGGCCACCTTCATCGAGATGGAAATCGGTGAGTAGTTGACCCCTAACTGTGTTATCATCATCATAATCCACACCCTTGCCTCCCTCATTCTTCCCTAGGCCCTGTCTAGAAACAAGCCCTAGGCCAGGGTTCCCCAACTGGCCGCCCCCAGCAAATCAGTTCCAAGTGTTTTTAATTTTGGAAATCTGTTCCAAAGTATTCTCACGCATAAAAGAGAGAGATGTGATTGTATACAAATGTAAGCAAGGTTTGACATGATTGTTTTAGTCAAATATTATATCTGTTTGGGCTTCTTGCAGTCAAATTATGTTCCGGCACGCTGACCATCTGCTCAAGAAGAAATAGGCCCACGGCTGAATCTAGTTGATCATCCCTGCCCTAGGCCATACCCCCTACATTTGTAGATTCGAAATCCAAACTGGATCACCGTAGTGTGACACTTCTGTAGTTCTGAAAGAATTTAAGACTATGGCAAGCATTCCATCTAGCCAATCAGAGGGCAAGGAGGAGGTACTATCATGCTGCTCATACCTATCTAATCCTTTCAGATGTACATGAAATGCCTAAGGGTTAGGGGCTAGCAAGGTCGCTTCCGGACATGGAACAAATGTCAACGGGGGGCCGAGGAGGACTGTGGCCCACCACCCGAGGCGAATTAGGAACCAAGCGAGGTGGAAAGCATTCTAGGTGCATGAATACAACAGACGTGTGTGTCAAGCAGCAGTGTGGAGACCAGAGCCCCGGCCTGTTGTTTAATTTATGTTTCTTATGCTTTATATCGCTAAAGGTTTGTCATCCATGCTGTTCTGAGCTCATCCCCTAGTCAGTCACCCCCGCATTGTTCCCAACTTTTTCTCCAATCTGAAGTGTACTGTTTCAAGCCTCGGTGTAGTTTGAATTCATCAGTTTGGCCCTCCAGCAAAGCATTGTGACGTTCTCATTATCTAGACAACAGTAGCACATGCATTAATTATGAAGGCACAACCAAATAGGAGGGTTTTGCAGACAATCTTCCTATGTTACCTCGCATAACCTAGCCAGATGTGGGTCTGAATTAACTTGCTGCACTTGCATGTAATGGCTTTTGTTTTGATGACCATTCCCTTGTGGACTATCTACAATTTAGCCATTCTTTCAGCCAGCCTCTCTTTCCTATCTATCTCTTGAGGAAAAAGCCTGTCTGTTATGCAGTAGCCATGCCACTGCCCAACCCTCCCTCCCTCCCTCTCTAGCTGTTCAGTGTGCAGCCTCTCTGTCTGGGCAGTGGAAGATTCAAATTGCCCTTCATGCAACCCTGTTCTCTCTCGTTGCGGTCAAGAGGCGTGGGTGGGGGACAGGTAAGAGGTCCTCTCCAGATGACAGAAGAGGGCTGTAAATGATGGCCACTTCTGCAGGTGGTCCACTGGGAGTGCCTGGGCTGGCAGCGCTCCCTTTGTTACGGATTTGACTCGAGCCTTCCAGTCAGAAAACAAGGAGATGCATGCTAACGGCTATTGGGACGATATGCTCCCTTTGTGATGGCTCAGGCCTTCCAGTCCGACTCCATAGAGATACATGCTAATGACTGTTGGGCTAACATGCTAATGGATTTGGGATAACATTCCCATGTTTGGCCTAACAATGGCTGCAATGGCACTACTTAGAACAGCGAGGCCATTCAGTTTGTGTGACATGACCTTGTTTAGCATATGGACTATGTTGAGCCACAGACTAGAGCTGTGTTCGAATACCCATACTAACATAGTGTATACTACATACTTAATGAGTATATACTACATACTATATACGATTAGTTCATTTTAGTATACTGTAAACAAACTGTATCGTTTCAGTTGAGCGTACTAGAGCTTCGCCTGTCTACCGGAAGTTGATGCTGTTGCTATGCAACCTCTTGCTAGCTTGTTAGCGTCACAAATGACTAGCTAAACATTTTACGATTTCGGCTGTGTTAGTAAATTCAATCTGGAGTGCCAGAGTGCACTCTGGGCATTCGTAATTTCAGAGCGTTGTCAGATTGTCCGTTTTGTAAATTCAGAGCGCACACTGGACGCTCTGGCCGAGGAGTAGGGTTGATCCGAGCGTTCAACGGCAGTCAAGCACCCAAGCTAACTGGTTAACTTTGGCTAGCTACTTCCATACACAAATGAGAGAACACCTCACTCTGACCATTTTACTCGCCCTAGCAGAGCTGGTTAGGCTGTTTTCATGTTATCCAGAGCGTTGGTAACTGTAACTGTGCTGCTGGCAACAATTTAATTATGCATTTTTTTGCCAACTTTTACTGACACTGGCCATGTTCAACAGGTGTTAAGCGTTTGTAAATTGATCAGTTATTCTGCGCGAGAGTGCTCTGAAATTGGAGTAGATAGCCAGAATGAACAATGTCCATTGATACGCACAACGACTATACCACTTCACTAAGAATGATGTGAATAATCAAGTCAATAAACGTTGGGTAGTTAGATAGCAGATAGTTAATATACTGCCTGGCAAGTTCGCTGTATTAGTAGCCAACTGACGTTAGGTAACTAGCTGTTCATACCGGTACATACTGCTGTAATACTATGCGGTTCGTAAGGATAGCATAGCTAACAAATTGTCAGCCAACATAACGTGTAACTTATTTGAAAAGTAATTACTTTATTACATTGCTCAACATTTGTCATAATTAGTTAAAGCAATGAATTTGTATCCGCTCTCGTCGGACATCGGCTGCATATTTACCGCCAAATCTGAAAACGTTGTGAAGCCACACCTATTTTCTGAAGAATTGCATTTTGGGCCCTAAAAGCACGGAAATAGTGTCCACTGCATGTATACTTCTTATTTTGGCGAATTTAGTATGACATCCAGGAACTTTTGGCATACTAACTATAGCCATACTGTGACCAATAAGCATACTATATACTCAATTCACGTCACAAATAGTAAGGTTAGTGTGGTTAGTATGGTTAGTATGAGTATTCGAACACAGCTTGTGTTTGGTAGCATGCATCGATCCTTCCCTGATAACAGATTTTTCACTCCTCCCAAACTTGTCTTCCTCATCGTAAACTAGTACAGAGCCCACACACATACCACGCCTTCGCAAAAAATGACGAGATAAATCGCTCAAATGACAAAAACAAATCACATCCTCATCAAGCTGTACAAACATGTTTGTACAAGAAAAATTAACTACCACATTCAATTAATCTTGCCTTTAACAAATACAATAAAATGTTATTTGTCACATGCACTGAAACAGGTGTAGACTTTACTGTGAAATGCTTACTTATGAGTCCTTTCCCAACAATGCAGAGTTAAAAAGTAAGAAGAATTTGGACACAATAAAACAATAATGGGGCTACGTTTCCATGCACAATAATAATTAAATATTAAACTGATTGTGGCAGTAGGCAGACTATGGAAATAGTCATGTCGCTCTGGATAAGAGCGTCTGCTAAATGACGTAAATGTAAATGTAAATGTAAAAACCTTACCCTGCCTATCTTAATCATGAAGTAAACGTACGCTGATTAAAACACCTGGTTTTCTGAGCAATCTTTCGAATTATTAGGACATGTAAACAGCTTAATCGGCGTTCCAGCATTGTATTTGATCTGTGCATGTGCCATAAACAGCAGCGCAAGCCTCCCTCTTATGCGCGAGTGAAGTGATTTCGGAAAAACTGAAAGTATTCATCTTATAAGTAGTTTTCACATACAAACTTTATATGTCCGAACTCAGAATCAAATGGACTTAGCAAAAATAACATGGTCACTGTGGTAGAATGTTTATTTTCTTTGGCGATTTTCTGCATTTATCAAAAGTCCCATAAAGTAGCCTCATTTGATGTGTCCATGTAAACAGGATTATTAGGGAAATTGTTCTTCTTGCAAAGCATGTAAATGTTTTAAACTATTGCATTAATCGGACAATCCACCATAATCGTATTATTATTGTGTGCATGTAACTGTACTCACTGAGTGTACAAAACATTAGGAACACCTTCCTAATATTGAGTTGCACCCCCTTTTACCCTCAGAACAGCCTCAATTTGTCGAGGCATGGACTCTACAAGGTGTCGAAAGCGTTCCACAGGGATGCTGGCCCATGTTGACTCCAATGCTTTCCACAGTTGTGTCAAGTTGGCTGTAAGGCCTTTGGGTGGTGGGCCATTCTTGATACACACGGGAAACTGTTGAGCGTTGAAAAACCCAGCAGCATTGCAGTTCTTGACACAAATCGGTGTCCCTGGCACCTACTACCATACTCCGTTCAAAGGCACTTAAAGCTTTTGTCTTGCCCATTCACCCTCTGAGTGGCACACATACACAATCGATGTCTCAATTGTCTCGAGGCTAAAAAGTCCTTCTTTAACCAGTCTCCTCCCCTTCATCTACACTGATTTGAAGTGGATTTAACAATTTACATCAATAAGGGATCATAGCTTTCACCTGGTCAGTCTGTCATGGAAAGAGCAGGTGTTCCTAATGTTTTGTACACTCAGTGTACAAGGAGTACCGGTACCGCGTCAATGTGAAGGGGTATGAGGTAGTTGAGGTAATATGTACATGTAGGTAGGGGTAAAAGTGACTAGGCAATCAGGATGGATAACAGAGTAGTAGCAGCAGCGTGTGTGTGGTGTCAATATGTGTGTGTGTGAGCATGTGTGTGTGTGTGTGTGTGTGTGTGTGTGTTGGAGTGTCAGTGTAGTGTGTGGGTGGAGAATTGTGATAGTGAAATAATCTGTCTGTAAACAATTGTTGGAAAAATTACTTGTCATGCACAAAGTAGATGTCCTAACCAACTTGCCAAAACGATAGTTTGTTAACAAGAAATGTGTGGAGTGGTTGAAAAACTAGTTTTAATGACTCCAACCTAAGTGTATGTAAACTTCCGACTTCAACTGTATGTAAGGCAACTGAGCCATTATTCAGTAATGTTATTCCATTTATTAAAATGAAACTTAAAGGAAAGGTTCACCCATTTTGAAAATAATATTGTTTTTGTGCATCTCTGAGTTATGTTCTATCGATTTCCTGGGTCATTTCATGTTTTCATGTTTATCTGAGTTATTGACATAGCACCGTGATAAAGTCTCTCACACTACACTGGAAGTTAATAGGAATACGACTTTAAGATCGCGAAAACGTCTATCATACATGTCAGATTTAAATACTGGCCGATTTCATAACTTGGGAGCATGTCTTCTCTCGAATGAGCAATTGATCATATTTTTTTTATATTCCTACCTCGAGAAATTTGTAATTTAACGGAGGGTATAGCACATTTTTCCTATTTGTCTGCCTCTTTAGTCCAGTGCGCTTTGCATGGTCCAGTGCGCTTTGCATGGTGCCGTTACTGGAGATATTATAGAACGGAGATAGGAATCCAATGAACTAAGAAATGTTTAACGCGCCACCTAGCAGACTGTCGACCAATCGCGTTCACGTTGTAATGCTGCGTCACGCGGTTGCTAAACTAATCGTCACGCAATCCCTTCTCAAAGTCAGTGAATATGTCGAGAAACGTGCCTATTTTTCTCGAAAGTACGGAATGTCACGATTCCAAAGCTATACGATACTACAGATGGCAAGTTAATTATTCCACATCTTGGAAAATATTTGTAATGTTTTGACGAAATTCGTGCTAATGTTGGGTTTTTGAGCTAGCGCCCAATAGACTCCCATTGCAGGAAAGCGCTCCTTGTCCCATAATCGTCCAGAATGAACCGAGCGGACCATTGACGTAGCATGGCAACGTTTCCTCAAAAGTATATATGCCGTTGCGAATGTTAGACTCAACTCTGTGAGGCACATCGATCTGCAGGTTGAACATGGTGAGATTGTAGATTCCTAAATTGATAGTGCAGTTTGTTTAGGCGATTTTATAGCGAACTAGCTATGTTACATGCTGATATTGTCTTTGGTATTACTGCGTGTACCTAGCTAGCCAGCCCATAGAAGAGAGCATTGCATTGTGGAATTTGTAGTCGACTTGAGCTGCAACAGATTTCCACAGCGATTTCCCATGTTGCTACCAACTTTATAACCCCACAATGAAACATGTGTTCACAAAAAAATGTATTCTCACATATTTGTGTTATTTAACACTGTACATTGAAAGGAATAAGTGGTTTTGGGTGGATTTTTCCATTAAGCGATTAATGTTACTGTAAACAGGACTACATACCTGACACAGCAAGACACATCGTCCCAGGTCCGGGCTAATAAATAACAATAACAGCCCTGTTATGATAAAACATAATGGTAAATAACTGACCGGCGTGTGTGGAACATTGGGCTGAAGCGACAGTGTCATTCACTGACATTCTCTAGGTTCAACGATTCGCATTTGTGTTCTTCCAAAGCCCTTCATTTTTAACTGCCATTATGGCTCGAAACTCATGGCTTCACTGTGTAGATATTCAACCCAATTGGAACCTCGGCTTCCACCGGCTTTGAATACAATACTTTGAAGTGTGGCAATGGCGCTAGCAACAGGCAATGCAATATTCTCAGAATGTATGCTCTACTTTATGATTATGTGTGTGGTAGAGGCACTCTGGGTCAATTGTTTAAGTTCTGGTTAAGTCTGGTATATTTAGTTGACCTAAAATGTAATTTGCGTGTGGTCGATCTATGACTCACAACTTGTTAAATGCTGATCATCATCCCATGGTTAAGACATGTCTGAAGCCAAATTATCATTATTATTGGTTAAAGGGCAATTTAGGCTTAACCTGTATATGTGAAACTTGCACTACACAGTATGAAAATGAATAGATATGACTCCATTGTTAACTATGAGTATAATCCCAAATGGCCACCTTTTGCTGTCTCAGAGGCGGCTAATGGGAATGTCCCGGCTGGGCAGCGGCCTCCACCTCGGATCCGCAACGTCCAAATCAACGGGCAGATTGTCAAACTGAAGTATTGCTACACCTGCAAGATCTTCCGACCGCCTCGCGCCTCACACTGCAGTATCTGTGACAACTGCGTGGGTAAGAGAGAGCATTCTTCTACCTTCAGTCAATTCATTTTTTTTTTTTGTTATCATGAAAGAAGACTCAGTCTGAAAATAACATACACATTTTTACACTTCAATTCACTCAGTGACTGGGTATTGTGAGAAAAGTAGCTTTTTTTATCAGCATGTGAAGGACACATTCTGCTGATGCAAGTTTTTATTTGTTTGCTCAAGCCTTGACCTTACCTTCATTTATTTGTCAGTGTTTTAGAACATTTTATTGGAAAGAGTTTTAATCTAAAGTTATTTTGATAAGTTCTATATCCTGAGATGCTTGTGATGGACATTTGATAGCTGAATGGGTTTCCAGTGGGAATTTGGAATGCTGGCATATTTATTATTTCTTCCCCAGTTCTCTACAAAGCACTCTTTGGAATGTTGCTTGAGGATAGTGGTCCTCTGTAGCTCAGCTGGTAGAGCACGGCGCTTGTAATTCCAAGGTAGTGGGTTCGATCCCCGGGACCACCCATACACACAAAAAATGTATGCAAGCATGACTGTAAGTCGCTTTGGATAAAAGCGTCTGCTAAATGGCATATTATTATATTATATTATATAGTTTCTCATGTGTGTGCATGAACATGTCAAACTCTGCAGAATAACAGTAATTTGGCTAGTTGTGATTGAACCATGCCTTTGGCCTTTAAAGATCGGTTATTGTCTATTGTGTTTGTTTATCCATCTTTGCACAGGTGTTGGACAAAACAAAAGACATTACCTCTTCTTCAGTGCAATCAAGTCTGTTGCAGTATTTTAATGAATACAAACAGACCTTTTTCACATATTTGAGTAAAACTAGTGGGCGTGGTTAATAGCTGGAATGAAGGTGTTTTCCATGAACCTGCCCTGTGTGTTGTGCCATACAGGATTTAGGAGTTGATTATATACACTGGGCTCCTTTTTATATACAGTACATCAACAGATCATATTTATGATGGTTTTTCCTCATTCCTGATATGCTCCAATGCAGAAGTGCCCCACCTGCATGCTGTCATCATATATCTTTTCATGTGTACGTGTTGTCTGCCACAGGAAAAGTGTTAAGCAAGATGTTTTTCCTCTGTAAAGCTATCTGACCCTGGATAGCTTCACTCTGGCTCTGGTCCAAGTGTAATGAGGAAACGGTGGTCACTATATTTAGATCAGAGAAAGGGGAGTTATAGGGAAATGGCTCTTAGTTCCTGTCAAAACGGTGTGTTTGTCTTTGGGGAATAGTGACCTATTGTAGCAGAAGACATTGGCTAATGGCTATTTGACCTTTGTTGAACTAGGTTGTTATTGTCCGAAGTTTAAAGCCTTTAACCAGCAGAACTTTGGGGAAGGGTCTATTCTACGCACTCTTTTGCATCTCAAAGTTAAATTGAACCAAGTTTGTTTTTGTGTCTGTTGGAACATGTGCATTTGATCCCGTGGCCACAGAACCTCTTCCCTCTCCTCTCCATCTTTGACCTCATCCTTCTCCTCTTTTCCACAGATCGTTTTGACCATCACTGCCCCTGGGTGGGCAACTGTGTGGGCAAGAGGAACTACCGCTACTTCTATCTGTTCACTCTGTCCCTGTCCCTGCTTACCATCTACATCTTCACCTTCGGCATCGTACACGTGGTGATGCGTGAGTACTGTTGTTCCTTCATAGTTTCGCTACATATGTGTCACTGTCAAGACCAGAGCATAGTATAATAACAAAAGCAAATGTAGATTTAGGTCAGTTTCAGACTGACAGTACTTCAAGACGGTGTTTACAGATTGGTCGATAGGAAATTCACAGGTGTGCGGGAAACCGTCACTCTTGACTTGACAGTTGAGAGAATGTAATCGATCTGGAAGGGTGAGTGAGTGATGCGGACTAAATATGATGAAACAGAGACCTAGTTCAGCTGAGGCTTGACCGGAGCATGAAGGGACATGCAACAGTAACTGCCTGGATGACATGCACATACTCACACTCACACACTTCCCTTTGATTTGTTCCTATATGTGGGACTTTACAGACAGCGAGATGGCAGGGAAAGGGGCAGAGCATTTACAGTCAGGATAATTGGCTCCAGGCTTGTGATCTTAATTCAAGCAGCAGCCAGCGCACTGTCAATGTCATTCCTAATTTTAATTAATTGTTTATTTTTTTAATGTTGGAGTGAGTGAGGGGAATATTTCAGTGTAAGTCTTGGAGCTTATTAGGAGTGTGTGTGTGTGTGTGTGTGTGTGTGCACACGCTCTTATACAGTGCATTCGGAAAGTATTCAGACCCCTTGACTTTTTCCACATTTTGTTACGTTACAGCCTTATTCTAAAATTGATTAAATAAATACAAATTCTCTGCAATCTATACACAATGTGCATAATCACAAAGCGAAAACAGGTTAAAAAAATGTTTTTTTTATATATATAAATATACACAGAAATACCTTATTTACATACGTATTCAGACCTTTTGCTATGAGACTCCAAATTGAGCTCAGGTGCATCCTGTTTATATTTATCATCCTTGAGATGTTTCTACAACTTGATTGGAGTCCACCTGTGGTAAATTCAATTGACTGGACATGATTTGGAAAGGCAAACACCGGTCAATAAAAAGGTCCCACAGTTGACAGTGCGTGTCAGAGCAAAAACCAAGCCATGAGATCGAAGGAATTGTCCGTAGAGCTCCGAGACAGGATTGTTTTCCTCTTTGTAATACATTTGCAAAAAATTTCAGAAAACTCGTTTTTGCTTTGTCATTATGGGGTATTGTGTGTAGATTAATGAGTTTTTTTGTTTGTTTTTTTAATCCATTTTAAAATAAGGCTGTAACGTAACAAAATGTGGAAAAAGTCAAGGGGTCTGAATACTTTCCGAATGCACTGTATGTGCTCCACAGAACCTTTAACTATGTGCTCTACAGGCTCGGTGGACTCCGGGTTTGTGAAGACACTGCAGGACACACCTGGGACATATCCTTTCAGTTCCACATAAATCCCATCTGTTTATTGACCCTTAGGGCCACTGTAGTTTACTTTTAAACCTAAAAGAAACAGACATTCATAATAATCATACCATACAGACATATCTTTGTTTTTATTGAGCCAAATCAAGTTAAATTGAGTTATAACCTGAATCGTCACTGGTGCATTTAACATCAAAGGCGATAATTAATCAGTAGTGATTGCAGTAACCTCATGTTCGACAAAGACCTATCCTTGACAGGTGGACTTTGAGAGCTTGTAATACTGTTAATTTATCTGTGCTGTTTCCTTAACCTGATGATCCCACTGTGCTGGAAGTGCTGGTGTGCTTCTTCACCTTGTGGTCAGTAGTGGGACTGACAGGCTTCCATTCTTATCTTATCTCCCTCAACCAGACCACCAATGAGGATGTGAGTATATCTATTCTCTACCATTCACTACTCCTACTACAGGGGCTGTGTCTCAACAGTTTAAACTGACTTCCTCTCCTCTTTTATCCAGCACTGGTGATTATGGAGATATGGAAGGACATTTTAGATTGACACAGCTGGTAGTCTCGGAAAACCCAGACCTAGGGCAACAGCACTCAGTCTGGGAATCATGAGGGATTCTCTTGGTAACTTCGAAAAGGGGAAAAATACATCCGGGAAGAGTCCTCCTCAGACAGACAACTCTCCCAACAAATCATGAGTTTGGGTAGGCGGGGTTTAAAATGCAGACAGGAATTGTGCTCGTGAAAAAGTCTTACCATAGCCTGTAGGCAGACATGCCAGAACGTCACTATTTGAAAACAACGTTTGCAGGTAAAACCTTTGCAGTAGTTTTATTAAAGGTTGATGCAAACTATCCACTTGCTAAATGCACTTATTCAAGATACTATTTTGTGTCTGGGGGATGTTTACGCTAGGGCAACAAGCGGATAAGGCAGTGACGTAAGAAAGCCGGATGTCCCAACTCTGACCTTTCCTCTATGCCAAACTGACGTTGTCTAAGTACAGGCGTGCATGCTGCAACATTGGTACATTGTAGGAGGCAACCCGTCTGTGTAGAGACTACACAGCCCGGACTCGAGTTAAAGTTTTTACATTACCACAGGTCTGGGATCAGATTAACCCTACCGCTAATCCTAACCTTAACCATAATGCAATAAGATCTGACCCTGTGTCAGTTGTAGGGAGCTGCTTCACTCCAGGGTTCTGTTTATATGCTAAAAGTGGAGTGCTAACATGGCATGGCTTCACGTGGCTGGAAAGATAAATACACACTCATGTGTGTGGTGTAAACACTCAAGTTCTACCACCAGTCAGCTGTCACCTTGGAAACCACACACACTTTTTTTTCTTTGCAGCCTTAGGAACTTAAAGGCTGGAATTCAATCAAATCCACCATGGCAATATTTCCTCAGTGTCTTTGTTTTCAAATGCACACACAGACGACTTATTCTGATAAGTGAATGCAAGGCTGTGAGTGACATCTACCTGTACTAGTCGTAGGTTTTTATACAGTACCTAAGACCAGTGTGTGATTTTTATATAACCATGGGGAAAAAGCTTTACTGCGTAAATATGGCAATGCAGAAGTGATTTAATTCAAAGTTCAAGTTTGATTAATAACTACATAGCAGTCTGACATTCAAATCCATGGGTATTACATAAACAATAAATCATGAACAAGTTTTCAAAAGCGTATTGAATAGTGAGGGCAATTCCATAGTAACAAAATGACAAAACCATTAAACAAACCGTACAACTGCACAAGGACCACTTTCAACCATTTCCAGTGAAAATTTTACAAAAACACATTTACTTGAAGAACAGTGCAGATATAAAGTTTTGTAACAGAATGATTGTAAAAGTCTCCCTCAGTTTGTGACCAAGTTTTCCAAAAACTCTGTTAAATATCTACTCTGAATTAAGATTCAAAGATGTCTGCAGAAAGAATGGGACGTAAAGCTATGATATGACACCTTGAGTTTGAAAAAATCTATTTTGGTTATTGAACTACAGTATGTGAAGTGGATTAACACCTGATAACAGAATGACTGTAACCGAATAGGTCCTGATCTGTACTATACAGAAATGCATCATTATGGATATGCGATGTATTCATTGATGTATCCAAATTAAGGTACACAAAGGTACAAAAATGTAATTTCCTCCTTTGCATGTTTGGGTATTATTCGACACATTAGCTATTAATAAGTTACCCCCCCCCCCCCCCCCCCCCCCCCTCCACCACCAAATTTAGGACCAAATCTAAACCAATAATAAATGTCTCTTTCACAAGTTTGGACATCACAGTAGAGCACAGTACATTATACTGTACTCTAGTGTGCTCTACTGTACTGTACAGTACTATGTTGTACTGATCTCTACTTTTCTTTACTGTACTAAACAAAACTTCCGAGGACGTCCAGTGTCGGTCAGCGCTCGGTGGTTGAGGACGCTGGTTGTATGAAATAGAAACCAAGGGGACTCATGTATAGGTGTCAGTAAGAGGTGACCTAACTGTAGAGAGAAGGAGACAGGCAGAGAGACTGGGAGGGCTTGTTCAGACTGTTTTCACAATTATGAGCTAAACATTACAGTAAGCCAGTGGAAGGGAGGACAGTAGCAGGTGACCCAACTTTTTAACATAATTTCCCATTTTAGCCAATTCAATTGCAGTCATTCTGTTACTGAGTTTTCGGTCATTCAGTCACAGATTTTGTAACAGTGACACGTTTTAATCACTTAATAAATCATAAACAAAATTGTTATCAGTAAAAACACTAAATAATTGGTAGGTCTACCTTTTTAGTTGTTACTTCATTATTCTCTCCCCTCATGTAACAGAATGACACAAGGCAATATTGATATTAGTTGGCAATGGTCTTAACTTCAACAATATTGTGGTTTGATGTATTTCTAATTACTTTTAAGACTTTTTCTGGTAGATGTTTTCTAAGACTCCTTTTCTATCTGTTTGACCAGAAATCAAAGACTTTGATTATTCCTAATTTTAGGATGTAAAATGGTTGAACAAAAAGTGTATATATGCCTTCATTTAAAAGAAAAAATACACTCGTAGCTTTCATTTGACACCAAATTTGATGTGCTCTTATGAACTTCACGTTGGTGTTCGCAGCCAAAAGTACGCATGTGGGGTAGGTGCGCGTGCGGTGTGGAGGGCACCTTCAGATCTATGGTTGGGCTGGGGTGTATTCATTACGCCGATTCTGTTGCAAAACGTTTCTTAAACTAAAGTAAATGGAATGGGAGGGACCTAACTGAATTTGTCCTATATATATATATTTTTTTTTTTTTTTTTGCAACTGTTTGGATTTATGATTACACCCCTGGTCTCTCTAGGGATAACATATGCTGCATCCTTTGTCTCCCTTAGCAAGATAACATGTGATCACATAAAACACTGGGACATTTGAATGTTAAGTGCAAGTACTCGATACATCAGGATCCGGATGCATACACATAGCCTTAGACTTAGGTTTGTGTCCCAAATGGCACCCTATTCCCTACATAGTGCACTACTTTTGACCAAGGGCCCATAGGGCTATATAGGGATGCATCTTTAGAAATCGTATGCAGCTGGTCCCAGGGCTGGCCCTTGATCTTCACTGAGTTGACAAAACATTAAGGACACCTGCTCTTTCCATGACAGACTGACCAGGTGAATCCAGGTGAAGACTATGATCCCTTATCGATGTCACCTGTTAAATCCACTTCAATCAGTGTAGATGAAGGGGAGGAGACAGGTTAAAGAAGGATTTTTAAGCATTGAGACAATTCAGCCATCAATCAATCAGGTGTATTTATAAAGCCCTTTTTCCGTAAGCAGATGTCACAAAGTGCTTCTACAGAAACCAGCCTAAAACCCCAAACAGCAAGCAATGCAGATGTAGAAGCACGGTGGCTAGGAAAAAATCCTTAAAAAGGCAGGAACCTATGAAGAAACCTTCAGAGGAACCAGGCTCTGAGGGGTGGCCAGTCATCTTCTGGCTGTGCCGGGTGGAGATTATATGAGTACATGGCCATTAAGGCCAGATTGTTCTTCAAGACATGGATTGTGTATGTGTGCCGTTCAAAGGGGGAAATGGGCAAGACAAAAGATTGAAGTGCCTTTGAACGGGGTATGGTAATAGGCAAGAACTGCAACGCTGCTGGGTTTTTTATGTTCAACAGTTTCCCGTGTGTATCAATAATGGTCCACCACCCAAAGGACATCCAGCCAACTTGACACAACTGTGGGAAGCATTGGAGTAAACATGGGCCAGCATCCCTGTGGAAAGCTTTCGACACCTTGTAGAGTCCATGCCCCGACGAATTGAGGCTGTTCTGAGGGCAAAAGGAGGGGGTGCAACTCAATATTAGGAAGGTATTTTTATTGTTTTGTACATTTAGTGTATATCTCAGAGGTCTAACCTCCTGAAAGGAGCTGTCTAGTATATTTCTGAACACCCCGAAGGATTTCTGTTTCCATTACATTCACCAGCAGGTAGGGTTGCAAAGGGAGGGTATATTACTGGAAACCTAAGTTTACCAGTAAACAACCAGAATTTTGGTAACGTTCAAGGTTTTTGGGGGAATTTTATCAGATGACATCAAGTGGCGTATTTGGGTACTTCAGATTATCACAGGTGTCTTTAATTATCTCTGGCCCTCTGTGTGGCCTTATCACCTGTAAAATATAGAAAATAATCAAATAAGATTATTTAAAAATGAAAAATATAATGACAAAGCTGTAAAACATCATCCTAAATATAAACCATTTTATTTTACTATGTCTATAGGTCTATGTTGTAAATGTTTTGGTGCCAAACTGGTGGCAGTTGTGAAAAAAGTCAATAGCTGGTTTACCTGTGACAATATGCCCTGTATACATACATGCATACATACATACATATTAACATACCTATGTTATACTTTTACCAGGAATTGTTCAATCCCTCACCCTGTGGGATTACAATCTAAAAATGGAACCGTACTTTTGAATAAGGTATAAGACCAGGGAAATTATTTTTGCAGGGGGAGGCAATACTGAATTTACCCTCTTTTTTTTATGGTAACCAGACAGGCAGTGTCGGAGATCTATCTGTAAGGGCGTCGCGTTTGGCGGAAGCAGGGTTGGGGTCAATTCCATTCCAATTCAGTCAATTACAGAACTGAAATTACAATTACAATGTTCCTTGCTACAGTGCCTTCAGAAAGTATTCACACCCCTTGCCTTTTTCCACATTTTGTTCTAGCCTGAATTTAAAATGGATTAAATTGAGATTTTGTGCCACTGCTCTACACACAATACCCCACAATGTCAAAGTGGATTTAGTTTTTAGAAATCTTTACATACAGTGAGGGGGAAAAAGTATTTGATCCCCTGCTGATTTTGTATGTTTGCCCACTGACAAAGACATGATCAGTCTATAATTTTAATGGTAGGTTTATTTGAACAGAGAGAGACAGAATAACAACAACAAAAACCAGAAAAACGCATATTAAAAATGTTATGAATTGATTTGCATTTTAATGAGGGAAATAAGTATTTGACCCCTCTGCAAAACATGACTTAGTACTTGGTGGCAAAACCCTTGTTGGCAATCAGAGGTCAGACGTTTCTTATAGTTGGCCACCAGGTTTGCACACATCTCAGGAGGGGTTTTGTTCCACTCCTCTTTGCAGATCTTCTCCAAGTCATTAAGGTTTTGAGGCTGACGTTTGGCAACTCGAACCTTCAGCTCCCTCCACAGATTTTCTGTGCCCTGGCTGAGGGAAGGAGGTTCTCACCCAAGATTTGACGGTACATGGCCCCGTCCATCATCCCTTTGATGCGATGAAGTTGTCCTGTCCCCTTAGCAGAAAAACACCCCCAAAGCATAATGTTTCCACCTCCATGTTTGACGGTGGGGATGGTGTTCTTTGGGTCATAGGCAGCATTCCTCCTCCTCCAAACATGGTCAATTGAGTTGATGGCAAAGAGCTCGATTTTGGTCTCATCTGACCACAACACTTTCACCCAGTTCTCCTCTGAATCATTCAGATGTTCATTGGCAAACTTCAGACGGCCCTGTATATGTGCTTTCTTGAGCAGGGGGACCTTGCGGGCGCTGCAGGATTTCAGTCCTTCACGGCGTAATGTGTTACCAATTGTTTTCTTGGTGACTATGGTCCCAGCTGCCTTGAGATCATTGACAAGATCCTCTTGTGTAGTTCTGGGCTGATTCTTCACCATTCTCATGATCATTGCAACTCCACGAGGTGAGATCTTGCATGGAGCCCCAGGCAGAGGGAGATTAACAATTATTTTGTGTTTCTTCCATTTGCGAATAATCGCACCAACTGTTGTCACCTTCTCACCAAGCTGCTTGGCGATGGTCTTGTAGCCCATTCCAGCCTTGTGTAGGTCTACAATCTTGTCCCTGACATCCTTGGAGAGCTCTTTGGTCTTGGCCATGGTGAAGAGTTTGGAATCTGATTGATTGATTGCTTCTGTGGACAGGTGTCTTTTATACAGGTAACAAACTGAGATTATGAGCACTCCCTTTAAGAGTGTGCTCCTAATCTCAGCTAGTTACCTGTATAAAGGACACCTGGGAGCCAGAAATCTTTCTGATTGAGAGGGGGTCAAATACTTATTTCCCTCATTAAAATGCAAATCAATTTATAACATTTTTGACATGTGTTTTTCTGGATTTTTTTGTTGTTATTCTGTCTCTCACTGTTCAATAAACCTACCATTAAAATTATAGACTGATCATTTCTTTGTCAGTGGGCAAATGTACAAAATCAGCAGGGGATCAAATACTTTTTTCCCTCACTGTATTCATAAAAAATATTAAACTGAAATGTCTTGAGTCAATAAGTATTCAGCCCCTTTCTTATGGCAAGCCTAAATACATTCAGGAGTAAAAATGTGCTTTACAAGTCTCATACTAACTTGCATGCACTCACTGTGTGCAATAATAATGGTTAACATTATTATTTTTAATGATTACCCCATCTCTGTACCCTACACATACAATTATCTGTAAGGTCCACCACTAGAGTAGTGAATTTCAAGCACAAAGACCAGGGGGGTTTTCCAATGCCTCACAAAGAAGGGCACCTATTGGTAAAGGAGACACTGAATATCCCTTTGAGCATGGTGAAGCTATTCATTATGCTTTGGATGGTGTATCAATACACCCAATCACAACAAAGACACAAGCGTCCTTCCTAACTCTGTTGCCGGAGAGGAAGGAAACCTCTCAGGGATTTCACCAGTAGGCCAATGGTGATCTTAAAACAGTTACAGATTTTAATGGCTGTGATAGGAGAGAACTGAGGAGTGAAAAGAAGGAAGTCTGTACAGAATACAAATATTCCAAAACATGAATCCTGTTTGCAATAAGGCACTAAAGTAATACTGCAAAAACATTTGGCAAAGCAATTCACCTTTTGTCCTGAATAGAAAGCATTATGTTTGGGGCAAATCCAACACAACACATCACTGAGTACCACTCTAGATATTTTCAAGCATAGTGGTGGCTGCATCATGTTTTTTGTGTGCTTGTAATTTTTAAGGACTGGGAATGTGGAATGGAGCCAAGCACAGGCAAAATCCTAGAGGAAAACCTGGTTCAGTCTGCTTTCCAACAGACACTGGGAGGCATTCACCTTTCAGCAGGACAATAACCTAAAACTCAAGGCCAAATATACACTGGATGTCCCTGAGTGACCTGGTTACAGTTTTGACTTAAAGTGCCTTGAATATCTATGGCAAGACTTGAAAATGGCTGTCTAGGAATTATCAACAACCAACTTGACAGAGCTTGAAGAGTTTAAAAATGATAAGTGGCAAATATTGTACAATCCAGGTGTGCAAAACTCAGAGATTTACCCAAAAAGGCTCACAGCTGTAATCCCTGCCAAAGATTATTCTAACACGTATTGACTCAGGGTGTTGAATACTTATCTAATCAAGATATATTAGTGTTTTGTTATTCATTCATCTTTAAAATATGTTAGCATTTTTCTTCCACTTTGACATTACAGAGTATTCTGTGTAGATCGTTAAAAAAAAGTCACATGAAATGTGGAAATAGTAAAGGGGTGTGCATACTTTCTGAAGGCATCGTTCCTACTATTATAAAAAAATGTTTTTACCATTGACTGTATTTGGTGTTTCACAGATCAAAGGCTCGTGGTCGGGAAAGAACCGGGTGCAGAACCCCTACAGCCACAAGAACATCATCAATAACTGCTGTGAAGTGTTGTGTGGGCCTGCATACCCCAGGTACTGTACAGTAGGAGAACCAGCTGCCTTAACTGTGCTCCTAGGATTAACTAGTGTGGAAAATACTGTGCTGCTGTGTTTTTCATTGTTTTACCCTTTCTCCTCATGGTCTCGTTCTCTCTTGTGCCTTCTTTATCTTCCTCTTGCTAACTTGTCTCTACTATTCTTCTTCTCTGTAGCCACCCTCTGTCCTCCTGCCCCTTCCGACCCTCCCTCGTCTCGCTCTCTTTCGCTCTCACTCTCACTTCTTTCAATCGCTCTCTTGTTCGCTTCGTCTCTAATATTATTCCTCTCTCATACTGTAGCCTCCCTTTTATCCTCCCACCTCCCTCCTTTCTCTCGTTCTCTCTGTCTCCGTCTCCTTTCTGTTCGGCGGTGAATAGGGTATTGTTGATGACTGATTGTCTGTCTTCCCCTGGCAGTGTCTTGGACAGAAGAGGACTGACGCAGGATGATTTGCCTGTTCCCGCATCCACTGCCACCAAGAGCAATCCAGTGCCACAGACCACAGTAAGCCCACGCACGGAAATTTACTGTCTGGCACTAAAATGGTTTCAGCTTGCCAGACACAAAGCATTAGTACAGTGAACATGCATAAAATATAGCCTAAATCAATTACATAGAGGGAGGAGAGCAAAGGAGGTGTACGGGGTGAACAATGTACTGTAGAGCAGAAAACGTTTTCCTTTTTTATAGAGATACTATTAATGTACTCAGCAGCTCACAGTTCTGTAGACATTTTGTGTCTGTACAGATGCCATTTTGTACTGGTGTCTAGTCTATCCTACTATAGCCATTTTGTGCCATCTACTGTTGCAATATTGTACCTCACTATGTCAGTATATTTTTACTGGTGCAATATCTTGCCTTTTCACTTCCCCTGAATTCTAATACAGGGCAGCTATCAATAGTTTCTTGTCTTTGGCTACTATTAGTATCCTTCTTATTGTGCCATGTTCCCTCTGTAGAGAACTACAGCTCCACTCATCCCCAACGAGCACACCCCTGACGACGCCAAGCCCAGCATCGCAGACTTGGCCATCGCCCACGCAGAGAAAATAAGCCCCTCCCCCAAGGAGGAGAAGCCGCCCACTCCGCCCAAAGCCCCGGTCATTCCCAAATCACCACCCACTCCCACCAAAGTCCCGCCCCTGGCCTCACCTGAAACTGACGTGGAGGCCTCCATCATTCTTGCCAAGGAGAAGGCGCTCTAGCTGTGTGGTGGGGGTGGAGACTCCTTCTTTGCGCCGCCCAAAGTCACAGCTTATCACTAAAACGCTCTGTCTGGACCTGTGAGGAGACACTTTAATCAACCTCTAAATGAGTGAAAAGCATCTGCCTGTAATGAGTGGGGAATGACTGTAAGGCTCTGACTCCCTGCTCTTTCCACCAGATATGCAGAGTTGGTGCCCACACCAAACCCTGCTTCCCCCCCCCTAACTCAGTGACTGCAGGACTGCTTGATTGACATTCACACTCCAGAAGGGTGGGGGATTGGGGGTTGGTGGCTCAGCACCTTTCTCGTTCCCCTGAACATTGCATGGAAAAACACAGATGATGGGGAAACTGTGGGAAGAACTGCGATATCACTGGATGCAGATGACTGTATATCCCCGGGTAGTGTGAGGCTGAGGGTGTCCTAAAATATGCACCGTACCTAGACGTCTCTGGCTTATGGCTAACTGTAGACTCATTGATTTGTTAATTCTACTTTTTCTGTATTTTTGTTTTATAGCTGTGATGATTACTTTAAAATGTGAAAAAGCCAGTTCTAACATACTAGCTTTTGTGTTGTAAATCCTCTAACACATACACACTATTAGTCCATTCTCATCTTCTCTTGTACTGAAGCACACCGTACAGGCCTCTATGCAATTAATGGGAAAGTTGGCAGTTTGGATAATGAGGATATAAGGATTGACAGCCGGTTGTAAGGTGTGTTTTAACAGTAAAACATAGTGGCGAAAAGGAAACCCTTACCATCCTTTATGGTTGAGATAGAGGCAAGATCTCAGACACCATTTTGTCTCTCTTCCAGTAAGTGAAACTACCTGATTTACACTGATATTGCTGCATTTAGTTCTATCCTAATTAACATATCTGACTAGATTTGTTGAGATAAAGGTGCAGCCTCGGCTACCTTCCTTCCATTTTTATACTGTTATAGCAAAAGGTAAAATCTTCTGGAATGGTTGAAAGTCCACATTTTTGCAGACCGTTTGCAGGGGTACCCTCACAGAGTTCCTGTATCTAGCATTAGAAGTAGACACTTTGCCACTGTCCCAGAGTGTGTGACTGGGTAGGTGTGTGTTTTCAGTGTTGGGGGCATTTCAATTCAGTCAATTAAGAAAGTAAACTGAAATTCCTATTCCAAGTAAACAAAAACAAAATAAACAAAAAAATAGGATTTTCTGTTTACCCTTTGAATCGACTGAATTTATAATGGGCACTCCAACGTGTGTGTGTGTGTGTGTGAGAGACAGAGAAGGCATGATTGCTGTTCACAGTAGACACTAGTTACAGTGCCTTATCAAGAAGCTGCACTATCACATGCAACTATAACTAAGGTTGTCTATCTACAGAGAGACCCTTAGACTCCAGTTCATGGCTCAGCACTCCAAATCGTACATGCAGACTGTCCAACGAGAAATAACATCACTTTTTATAAAGTTACCAATGAGACTTTGAGACTGCAAAATAAGAAGTAAAGCCATTGTTTAAATGTACATACTGTATGTAGGTGTTAAAAAAACTATTGGATCTATTGCTGATGAAAAGAGAAGATTCAGAGAAGAGACCCAGGTTGTCTCTGTTTTTGGAAAGTGCATGTGGCCAGTGTTAGATATTTGCCTGTAGATGAAGGCCTGCCCTGCTTCTTGCAAGTCGTGCAACTCCTGAATTTGTCCTCCTAGCTTCCACTGTCAACTTGGTGTCCTTGCTCCATGTCATGATCCACATCTTTTCACACATCTGTTAATTTCACACCAAATGGAGCAGAGGATTATGGGGGTTTGTGAGAGATGGGCAAGGTGGGTGAGAATTTCAGGTGCTTCAGAGACAACTCGAAGGGACAGGATTCACAAAGGGATAGTCAGTGAGAATGGCTTGCTTGACTGTTGGGTGATATGTTCAACTGATATTGGTTGGAGAGAGTTTGTAATACTCGTTGTGTTGTATGCAAGGCAGAGTAATTGTGATGTATACTTGTATAGAAACATTAGTATAATAGCTTTGACAGTGTCATTCAGCCTTTTCATATGCCCAAGATAATTGTCCCCCACGATGAAATCGGGGAGGGGACTGTAGATCTGTCTCCGTCCTTTCATTCGTACGTTAGTCACACGTGATATCTCAGACCGCACTGGGCCAATTTTGACGAAACTTGAGTGAATGATGCGTCATGCCATAGAGATCCGGTATTTACTAAATTACACTGACTGGCCCAAAGCGAAATGTTAGTCACACGCATTATCTCAATTGGCCCAAGTGAGGGCACTGCATAATTAGTGGGGAACGACATGTTTACTTTTGCCTTATTTAAATATGACCAGAACAGAATGATACTGAAATAATCTGATTTAATGAATGAAAAGGATTGCAGAGCTACTGTATATGTTGATTTCATTTCACAAAGATTCTCCTTTCCAGTGAAAAAGTGTATTTGAATTGGGAATGTGAGTAGGGGAGTTACTAGTTGTTTCCATCTAGGCCCTTGCAGTGTTTTTTTATCACTTTATTTTAAATCTGGAGTAGACTATCGAAAACAATCCAGTGAAGGTCATTGAAGGGATTATTTTAGGGAAGGAAAGATAAAAGCCAAATCCATATTAACTTGCGTAGCCTACAGAGTCTGTAAGGATGCTTGTGCTGATGTGTAGGGTGAAGTTGCCCCTGATCTTTGGTCAGTTTAGAATTTTCCCCACCAATGATCTCTGCGTCCAGTATGAATGATGTTGGAGGTAGTTTCGCTAGGCAATGCTAACTAGAGTTAGCAACTTACTTCAAACTGCACACAGAGACATAAAAATGGTATCCACGAGTTCATCTGACTTTGGGGAAGTAGATAAAGGGCGCCATTGCCTAAATCCCAAAGTATCCCTTTAAGGTTAGGATTGGTGAGGGGAAGACGATCCTACTGTAGATCTGTACCTAGGGGAAGTTTCACCCCGGAACTGCTGAGAATGTAAGCCGCCTTGTGAAATGGACAACAAATGGTTGTTTTAATCAAAGAGTGGTGTACATTATTTCCTGAATTTATGCGTGTGCATTGAGAAGGCCTTTCAGGAAATGTATTCTATTTTCTTTTTTTTTTAAATCTATCTTTGTCTTTCGGAGCAGTTGTTAGGCCTACCCTCAAACCAATCCTCCTATCAATTGAAGTAGAGTTTTTGTCCCTGAATAATATTAGGTTCTGACCAGTTGTTGTAAAAATTCTCTTTCAGTAGATAACTGTGCTGCTGCATTGCTGTCAATGAAAAGTGTGACTGTATTGGTGATTGTGATTAACACATGAAAAAGGGAATGTTAAAGTTTAAGCTGGTTGAAAGATAATTGAACGGATCGGACCCTTGTACTATTAATGTTATCTCTATGGACATATAGTAATAGTCTATACAATGACTTGAGAAGTTTGGAATTGGTTATCTCAATGTTGAGTTAATGTTTGGATGTATGATTTTGATTTATAATGTGAAAATTACTCTACAAGGGTCTCCGATCTGAATGCTCTGATCTACATAAGACCGTACATAATGTATACAGTAGATACAATACCACTGATGAAATTGTATTTGTTGACTTTGTTTAGTAATAACACTGTGATTACGTATATTTCATGATATTTTCCTCACTTCTTTTTACATGATTGATTGACGTGTCTGGTAATTAAATGATATTGTATTATTATTATTGTTATTATTAATAATATTGTCTCTGAATTATTGCATGGAAAGGATTTTGACTGCAGACTGCCAAATAATATCTGTCAAATAATTTGCATACATGGTGGGACCAGGAAATCTGGCCACAATACAGACACAGTGGAAGGATAAGAGACATTTAAAAACCATGTGTAGACACAGAACCTTGAACAGATAGTAACTGGATCATCTTGATCAGATCATGAAAACCACATGTTAATGCAAGGTGTAACCAGGGCTATGAATAGACATTCTTTGACAAAGAGCATCAGCAAGATTAGAACCTGTGACCTTCTGGTCCCTATATCAGTGACAATTCACCCGCTATTCGTTTGGAGTGGATATCTAAGAAATGAAGGTGTGGCTACAGCTACCCCATATTCTGACCTAGACTTCATTCCCTAATAATTCCAGCACCTATATGCGTGAGGAAACCATGAATAAGGGGCTCTATTCAATCCACATTGCAGAAGTTCAGCTTTACAGCGTGACTGAAATTTAAAGGCAATGTTCCTGCTTTAGCGGAGACTGCATTCACGGTAAACGCTGCATATGTTGGCTAAATCGGAAATTACCTTTATATGTCTATCCTGGAATCTGTAACGCTTCAGATTTACAGATTGAATTGAGCCCAAGTTCGAGCGAACCTGACAGTTCCAAGCGGAAAAAGCATCTACTTTATTTTTTCATATAGAATCTCCATGCACTGTAATTTATAAATTGATAAGCGCTAGGTAAATGAGTGATCCGTTTGGAGAAGGGGATTATTAATACACATAGCAATTGTTTTAGATTTTTCCTTATGATCCTTGGAGACTAATGTAAAAACCAGTCATGGAAGCACACTGAAAATCATATCAACATGACATGTATTGTGGCCCCTTTTCCACAGTGAAGTAGGCTATAAGTCAGTGGAGGCTGGTGGGAGGATCTATAGGAGGATGGGCTCATTGTAATGGAATAGATGGAATGTTTGATGTGTTTGATAGTGTTCCATTTATTCCATTCCAGCCATTACAATGAGGCCGTCCTCCTATTCATGGGTTGCATGTTTCATCACAATATTGTTTTGAACGTTCTGTTGTGGAAATTCTACACATGGGACACTCGAAGTCAATCTTAAATTAATCATTTTTTATTAACGGTTAACTGGAGAGGTTCCAACAAACTTGATGCACCATAGTGAACGTCTGTCAGGAGCTCTACTGGGGCAGTCCCGTTAATTCTCTTATATACTGCAGACAAGTTATATTTGCATGATTTAGCTTATTCATCATTCATAATTAATTCAATAT